ATATTAATAAAAAAAAAATGTCAACAAAAATTTTAAATTTAAAATGCCGATTAAAAATAAATTACAATATTTTCATGGGCATATAAAAAAAATGTTTAAAATGAGCATAATAAACAAAACTTCGACAGTTTCAAATACCGTTAGAATATTTCAATAAGCCACGTTTAGAAAATGTACGTTATACACAAGGCAATGGCATGAAGTAAACAATGATAATCATATAATCATTGATATGAACTGTTGTTGCAAACAATTGAGGCATTTATAATTGATTTTTACGGTAATCGATGATTTACAATATATAAATAATATCTTCTATTATATTATCAGATACTGTTTATACCTTTCATATTGAAAACGCGCATTCATTTCGAAACAGATTGATTAGGGATTAAGGGAGCGAATAAATGTTAGGGCGCGGTATTCGGCGGGACACGGGCGCTATTTGCTTGCGAAATCCAAAAAAATCTCGAATAACATTAGACCGTACCGGGTGAATCAGATTCGCGGGTGTTGTTTACAATACACTGTCTGTCTAATATAATATAAATTAATGTATTTATTATCGATTTATCCTTTAAAAAAGCGTTCGCGGATGTCGAAGAGTATTGTGTGTATATATAAATATATATATTGTTTATATATTATATATAGCTACTGCGGGAGCCGTTATGCTTTCCGGTTTATCGCGTGGTACGAAAAATACATTTTATTTGGAGGTACCAACCGTATCATTACCAAAAGCGCTCTCGAGTCGCGAAGTACCTGCAAGCCCGAATTACAGTGTTCGTTTTATAATATACGGACGTTGCAAAATGTGCGCGTTTAGATATTCAATTTTAATTTTAGTTAAAAAAAAAAAAAAACCAAATCATTTATTTACATAGCGGACGTTAAAGTGCGTGCGCATCATTTGAAAACGTGAACAAATGAAAACGATAAGAAATGCTTTAATTAAAATTAATTTACCTCGGATGAAGTTACGATATTTGTAAAAAATAAAAAATAAAAACAAAAACAACATATTCCACAGGGACGATGAGCAATTGGCGTTGTAAAATTGCAGATAATTTTGATTTAAAAAAAAAAATGTCCGAAGTATAAACTTTATTGTTATTTTTTTTTTTAAACATAACTTGAATTTAGTTACAAACGAAACAACATGAATATAACCATTACATTAATCATAATAATCATAAATATCATCATAATTTGACGCAACGTTAAAGGTCCGTGTTTAGAAACACGGCATTAAAAAAAAAAAATAATAATAAAATATAAATCTATATATTAAACAGTAACAAATATTAAAGCGTTTTTTTTTTTTTTTTTTGGAAATTTTCTTCAAAGCCTTTTTAACTAGATTACAAAAAGATTAGTTGTTTTATAAGCGGATTGATATTTTGATAACAATTAGGTTCAATTTCAGCGTTTTGTTGAAGGAGGAGGGTGGTTTTTTTTACTTCTTGAACGCCCTCGCCAATCTTTCAAATGAAGCCAAAGTGATAAAATTTTATATCAAGGATATGCCATTGGGGGTTTTAACTTTCGACTTTCGTCCTTGTCATTTCATAATTTTTATTGGAATTGGTAAGTAATTTTATATAGATAGATTAAAAAATTCTTTTGTTGTGAGCGTATCTTCATATTTTATTTGTACAGGTGTAACAATACCGTTGAATTTTATTTCACAAAAAAAAAAAATTGTCTTGATGGCAAATAGCGATTTTTGGTGAATAACGCAATTTGATGTATTTTATTTTTTTCACGATTTAAAATATTGCTGGAAAAAAAACAATGGAAGGTAAATCATCAGAATGTAATAAAAAAATTCAATATTGACAAAGTGAACAACAAAATCCAAAAGGTTGCTTAAAAAAAAAATAAAAATGTCTTTTTAACGATGATTTCAGATGGCAATATATCAACGTTTTATACATTTTTGCGTTTCACTATAAATAACTTTGTCAATATTGATTTTCTCTTTATCAACTATTCAATCTTATTTGTTTCTATTATTATTGTTTAAAATTCTTATCATTCTGATGATTTGCCTTCATGACATTTTTTTCTCAATGATAATTTATGCTTTAAAAAAAAATAAAACACTTTCAAATTGCATTATTTACATTAAATCAATGTTTGTAAACATATTTGGATATTTTTTTTCCGTGAAATTACATTCGATGGTATTGTCACACCTGTATAAATAAAAAAAATTATTTGATCCACCTTTGCATAAACGTATAGTACATACAGAGTGTTCCACAAAGATAAATTTATTGTAACATCTTAATAATAATAAAGATCATCAAATTCTGTTTTTTATTTTATTCACAAGGGACGACAAATATTTATAGGCAATTATTTTTTTATGCTTTGAAAAAACTTAAAAAAATAATTTTTAATTTTATTATTTTTGAAAAATTTGAAGTTAGCCATTTTATAGAGTTTATTTTTCTGGTAAATTTGATGTATTAACTTAAAGTTCAGAGAAAAGTATATATAATTATGCAGAAGGCCAAAATCGAATTCTTGATTATTATTGCTTCGATTAATTTAAATTTACACTTCTTTTCTCTCTGAACTTTTAAAAATCATGAATTTAATAAAAAATAAAAATGATACATCAACATTTTCTTCACAATATTCAACAATAATAGAATTAAAAGTTATTTTTTTAAAGTTTTTCATCGAAGCATAAAAAATGAATTGCAATACAAATATTTGTAGTCCCCTGTGAGAAAACAAAAACAGTTTTTGATAATCTTTATTATCCCCGGAGATGTTACAATGGGTATATCTTCGTGAGATACCCGGTATATTATATGGTATGGTAATTATTAGTAATCGGTTATTCATTTTTTTATAAAGAACTATAGTTGTCCCGCCCGGCGTTGTTCGTGCCGAACAAATGTATAATATTAATGCGTTTTCCTTCTGGATTCCCTGTTTCATAAACCCCGTCACTATATCATTGCAGTTAACCGTCGTTGTCTTTAAATGTTTAAAAAATAGGTTTTTTCTTTCATTTCAAACGTATATGAATTAGTTAAATGGTTGTTCAGCAATGACAAATATCCATAAATTATTATTTTGTATCCAGCCCAAATTACTGCAGGTTAGGTCTTCTATTTCTATTGGCCAGATCGACGATTTCATTATTTTAAAACCTTCTACCGACAATGCGGATCATTTTGCGATAAATCGCGTAAGAATTGGCGTAGTGATTTCGAAGCCAACGCGTAACAAAGATTTCTAATTTCGCTTTTATAAATATAATATATACAGAGAAGATAGATGGATACAATTCTATAACACAATATCCGGACGTACTTCGCACCGTGGCTAGGTTAGGCCACTGTAGTAGCTGGGAAGTTTGTAAAGGATACAGAGTAATTGTATTTATACTACTGAAAGCGATGATATTAACCATATTGTAATCAATCAAACAACGATTTTGAGTGGTGTATTATTAGTCGAGTTTTTCTCCTCGTAACTTATGAAATTAACAAAAATAAATGTTAAGTATTGGTTATAATGGAAGGAAAAATCCGAATTTTTTGAAAACGAAATCCAAAATCTATTTAAAAATTTAAAAAAGACTTTTTTTGTTAAATGCATTTGATTCACATCTTTATTAAATATAGAAAATATACAAATATTTACAATTTAAAGAAGTAAAAAAAAAAAAAAAAAATTCACCCGTTAACACACTATACAGTCCAATTTTCTTATCTGCATTTTATTATATTTTGTTTACCTTACAGACATTTTCTTTGTACAATTATAAACAACCAAATACTCTATAACAGTACGCAACACTGTACTAATACTATTGAAATTATATGGCTTCAGAAAACAAAAAAATAATTGTTTGGGCTGGTCGATTGAAAGTTAAAATCTTTAAAAGACGCATTATTCGATAATAACGCCACGCATCCAACTGGCTGCACTTGCGGGGTGTCTGTATGATTGTACAAAGTTAAAAAAAAAAAAAAAAGAAACGCTTTCTACCCGCAACGACACGATTGAATTCGTGTTGAAATTCGATCCAAATCGTATCACTTCCCATCGGGCTAATTCAAAACGATTGTGATTCCCGAGTTCGAGCTCATTTGGTGCAGCGGTTTTCTGCTTTCGGTGAAAAAAACACACACATACATCTCGGTGAAACTCAAATAGCTTTTCTCTGCTAAATACTAGGAATATCGGATGGCGGGAATTTCGATTCTGGTAACGGATATCTGCTACTCACGGGTGTTTCTTGTTCCTTATTAAACACGGAAACCGTTATTAATGATAATGAGATATATTATACAGTATTCCGCGAAATGCAAATTTTTAGGACATTGTCATAATATAGTAGAGCTGCTTTTCGCGTAGTAGTTTTTTTTTTTCGTCTCCGTCGTAATATACCCGAGAATATTGTTCGTTTCCGGGACAAATGTATACGGTGTCCGAGACGTGTACCGACGACGACTACGAAAATAATATCATATTTTATTCTTACGCAACGTCACGTGCGTGTTTTACACGCGGCATAAAAATAATATTACAATATTATTTCGGCCGGTTCAAAAAAAAAAAAAACCTCGCATAATATATCGCGTATAGGCAATAATAAAATTTGAAAAAAAAAATAAAAAACAGTTTTGTTTTTTTCTAGTTTTTAATTTTTTCTTTTTCTAATATTCCATTATATTATCATTATTCTTATTCGTGTGCCTATAGATAATACGCTATTATCGAGTCGAGGAGGAAAGCGGAGAAAAGCGAAAAAATGAATCGTGCTGAAACCGGTTTTCGAGCGCCGCTCGTCTGACCTGCCGCGGACGACGCGCGCGTACTTTTGTTACCAGACGAGTCTCCCGGCGACCGGACGCAGAAATGAAAGTCATTTCGTAATGTATTTCCGAGCAGGAAGTTTTTTGCCACCACCTCCACCGACGCGGCCGCGCCGTCCCGCAGGCGACATGAGCCCGTCTCGCCGCCATCGTCGAGTCAATCGTTCCCGACGGACCGAGGACCGAAGACCTATAAAAGACCAGAAGAAGAACTCCGGCGGAAGCCGACCTGACTTAACCGTACCCGCGGACCTGACGATTTTTAACGTTCCCTCGTCGCCCGCTTGCAAAGTCCACTCGTATACGGGCCGCCGCCGATATATCACCTAACCTTGGCGGTTTTTCGGTTAAATCGCTCCCGTGCTCAGCAACCGCTGTCGCGTATAATTAATTCGGAAATTTCGAAATCGTTTTCCAAAGGGGTCTGTAACGTCTTCTTATAAAAAAAAAAACCCTAGTATTTTTCGATCCCGGCCGCGATTTCCGTTGGATTTTCGTTTCAACCGTTCAGATCTCCGATTCTTGTCCGCTGCCCGTAACCGCTATCGTAGTCATGAGGTTCGCGTTGATCGGATTCCTGGTGCTGGTGATGGGTGTGGTCGTCAAGGCGCACATGCACTTCATCAGGCTGGCCCTGATCGCGGCCATGGGACTGATGGGCATGTGGATGATGCACAAGCTCGCCCAGGACTGGCACAAGATAAGCACAGCCAACAGGCCGGCAATGATGGCGGGGAAACTCTTGGGACTCTGGAAGAGGTCCATACCCGAGACGGTGAGTTTATATTATACTGCACATCACGCGTATGCATTACAATAATATTCGTAATGAAATATTGATGATCCTAGCCGATGATATTTCAATAATTACGTAATATAAAATCATGCTAATACCGGCACGTAATAAAAAAACAAGCGCCTACATAATATTTCCGGGTGAATCAGTACTGACCGAATTACGAATGAAAATTGGGCGGGTTTTAAACTCAGAATTTACAGGGAGAGAGCTATCTATTTATTTTAGTGAGATGAGATTATTTTTGTTTTTCTCGGAAAACACTTTTTCGATTATAGTAAAAACGTTTCGATTTTTTCACTACGCAGTAACTTAGAATACGCGGGTTTTCCGCCTGCGGATGACGGTACTTTATTTAAAACATTCCCCCTCCCCAAGAAAATAAAAATTACAATAAATGTCCATACACGAGGTTTGTTATAGCTACACGGGAACAAAACCACAATCAATACACTAGGTGTGCCGCGGTCATTTGAAATTTTTTTTCCTTAAACCGGTTACGGTGATCCACTCGTTAAGTACTAAGTCATAACTCTTTTGATTATGATTCGTTTGAATTTTGTTATTAGTTTTAATTTTGTGCAAAAACTTAAACAATGACAAAAAAAAAGTCACAGTGTGACATGATCAAAAAAAGTCTGAGGACCCCTGCTATATGTATATTACCTTACCTACTTGTTTACCGAGTTTCGTGCAGAATCGATTTTCTTTTAAATTTCAACTAACCTCGGATAGATATTTTGATGGCACCGGTACGATAAGGCATTATCAAAAGAATTATAGTATTTCAACCCAAGAGACGATTGATACCAACAACGCTTATTATTTTAGCGTAATATCAAAATTGATACCGAAAATTACCCGGATTTCGATATTCGATGTTGTCTGAAGTATCGGAGGTGTCGTGTTAGCAGAGCCCTACTTAAGAATTTTGTGGCCCGGGATCTAATTTTTTGATGGGGCCCTTATATTAAATTATAAATTAAGTTTTCTTTATTTCCGTAACTAAACAATCAATTATATTATAAAAAGTTTAAAAGCGTGGAATGTATTGATTTTACAATCATGTTTATTTTCTCGTTTTTGTGGATAACTTTTCTATGAGCAATTTCGCTCCAATTTTCAAGTATAAACCTTTTTCTGAAAAAAAATCTGACTAAGGTGGTACTTTACGGAGGTCAATTTTTTTCCAGGAGTTTTCCCATTATATGGGAAAACATGGTAGAAACAGGGAAAACACGACAAAATAGAAACGATATTAAACAAATATGTAGTAATGTATGTATGCAATTATTTTACCATAATTTGACATATATATTATACTGTTGACAAAGCAACACTATTAACTGAACTCCGGTCAGAATAGTTTTTCGTTAGCCATGGCTAATCGTTTTGTACAGATATACATTAAATTTCCCCTCTATAACTTTTCTAACTTTTCACCTACAACAGTGGCCCTCTCACGTGGCAAAGTATATCCGTCTTTTTTATTTCACAAATATTTGAATTATTATTTCTTACTCGTTTTTCCTTTTCATCAGTGTAAGATATGAAATGTTTGTTAATAATTAATTTGTTTTTTTTTTTCAAAATGTACGATTTCCCAATTTTATCTTTGAACATTATTTTGTCGACTACTGATTAAATAACAATTTAGAATTCTGTCATAAGTGGTGTTTTTAGTAAATATTTCGTGCTTAATAAACATAAACAAAAATAATTTCAAAATGAAATTAATGTATACAAGGGCCCCTTATTATGTTGGGGCCCGGGGTTGCAGGGGGGCTTGCCCCCTAAGTAGCGCTCTGCGGGTATCGGATCCTTGTTTAAAATCGAAATGCAATAATTGTGGTCGAAATTTACTAAATAAACGTTACGCGGTCAAACGAAAGTACTTTTTCTTGCATATAAAAAAAGAAAAATAAAGAAAAATGTTTCACATTTTGACGAATAGCGACGAATACGCGTATTTAAAATGACATACACAGGGTGGGGGCGATCCCTTCACAACCCCTCCCCACCGTAAAATATTATTATTTATAATTATATTATTTATAATTATATTATTTTCAATAACCGCAATAACATAAATAAAACGTACCGCGTTAAGTCACGAAAAGTCACTTTTAATTTCCGGTCAGGCGATTTGGGGACGAGCAATTAGAAAAATAAAAAAATCGCATAATAATAATAGTGATAACCGACAAAAGAAAAAAAAAAAACCGTACGATACGATAGGTAATAATATTAATTGTTATTAAAATAAATTATCCGAGTGCAGTGTATAATAATAATGATGGAGACGAGCAAAAAAAAAGAAACGCGGTCCCCTTAACGTCACGCCGCCGGTTCGCGGGGCCATTGAAATAATGTATTAAAAACGACGCGGCGAAGGTCGGGGTTTATATATTTTTTTTTTTTTTTGCAAATTTTTTCTTTTTTTCAACACGTTCGCGGCTCGTTTCCTATTATACGCGTCATAGTACGGTAACGGACGGCTAAACGGAACCGTGCACGTTATCGCAAATGCACAGATACGCGTAATATATTACTATAATAACGCGTTTGCAATACCTCGTCGCACACAATATTATAATAACATATAGTTGTACATTCGTACGAACCCCGACCTGAATAATATCGCACAAAACATGTAAAATCCGTACGTATTTTTTTTATTTTTTTTCTGTTCGCAATATACAAAACGAAAATTAAATACAAACACGTTCGGGAACGTATACATACATATATATATATATATATATATATATATTGTATAGCGTATGTGCCTACTAAATATTATAATAATGTGACGGCGACGAACGGGGATTTTTATTATTATTATTATTATTATATTTTTTTTTTCTTTAAGGACATTTTTAATGAGATCCTTATACGCGCGCGCGTATCGCCGTATGCGTAGGTACACTTTTGAGTTTTGACGAGTCCGACGACGACGACGTCATATACAATATATTTTACATTACAATAGACATTTTGCGAGCACAGCGCAAAATTAGTGACAATTATATAAACATACAGGGTGATCGAACCGGTCACAGACCAGCGATTCTCTAGCAGTGTTTTAGAGTGAATTTGAATTTTTTTTTTTTGGGGGGGGTTTCTAAAAAAAATTGCGTATTACGTCTTTATTTCAATGATATTTTCCATTTATCGGCCCCAGTTCTTAGAATACCCGAAACGAGTATGCACTTTGGATTTTTAATCCCCTCTTTTGAACACTGATTCAAGCAGAGGATATTTTGCTTTTTACAGATTTTGGTGGGCATAACGCTATTACGAAAATCTGTAGAAAAGTGTCCTTTATTTGAATCAGCCGTGTTCAAAAGTGGGAAGGTGTATATCTGTTTGTAAACCCCCAAGTATAAAGAGCAGGAGCTAAACAATTTAAGACATTGTTAAAATAAAGATTACATGATTCTATTAAAAAAAAAAAAAAAAAAAAAAAACAGAAATCAAAATCAGTTAAAATTGTTCGAGAAAATCGCTGGTTTATGTTAATTGAATCATCCTGTATATGTGTATATCTGTACACATAAATCGGGCAGGTTCGCCGCCATTGTTATTTCGCGCGTTTTTGTTTTAGTTTCATTTTCGATACAATAAAATAGAAAATAATATTATAATAGGTAAGAGCTTAGGCACGATACCACTTGCAATTCGACTGTAAAGCAGTTTTACGCGAGAAAAAGCTGTACACGGCCTAATAATATTAGGAAAATATTGAATTTTCACCGTATAAAAAAGGAGAATTTAAAATACAATGGGATGCCGGTTTTCGAGCCTCAGAGAAAAATAAAATAAGTTATTATTGTTCTAAAATCAGATCGTTTTAAGTTTTTTTGTATTCGAACAACTTATTTTGTTACAAAATGCAGGTCAACATTTATTTTTCAAGATGAAAATTTCGTTTTTGAATTAATTTTATATATATTGTAGACTCCGTAAACATTTTTGTTAACATCACGACTATCGTAATAAAAATGTATAATGATAATCTCCGGGCAATTATTGCAAATGTATTTTAATAATTTTTTTTAACTGTGAACAACTTTTTTAACAGATCTTTGCTCCGATTTTCAAGTGTAAAACTTTTTTTTAAAGGAAATCTAACCTGGGTGGTTCTTTTATAGAGACATTTTTTTGATTTTCCCCAGGGTTTTCATAATAAAATGGGAAAAAACGTAGAAAAAACGGAAAAAATTTACGAAATGAATTATTGCCAAACCGTAAATACGGTCTTTTAGAACTTGTACCTATGACCAAACCCCACTCACTCCACTTAAGATCGTTTTTCATTAGTAAAGATTAATCGTTGCGTACAGATATACCCTGAATTTCTCCTCTACCTTCTCAACTTTTCACCTACAACTGTGGCCCACCAACCAAACGAAAAAAGGCTGTTTGTTTTTCAAATTTTAATTTTAAACATCGATCTAATATATATATATATATATATATATATATATTTATTTAAAGGTATATAGTGTGTGACGTCACAATATTAAGTGTTATACAATACTTATCAAAGTATGATTAGATCCAAACAAATATAAATGTATTGAGTATATTTAATCCGATTTTAAGTAATTTTGAAATTCTTTAAAATTCTACATATTAAGTATTTTTAGTTATTTTATTGCTAAAAACCTCATTTGAGTAACTTATTTGACAACAGTTGAATTTCCGTTCGTATTCGTATTATAATACGTACAATATCTGTGAGAGTTAAAAAAATATATTATGCACGTTTTTAATGTGACTATTAAACCGTTTGGATCCAAACGATCCAATTATTACTGATATCAAACCGATAAGAAGAGTGTGACGTAGGCACTAATCATGCGCATCGTTTATAATATTTGCAGTCTGTATATTGATTAAGTTTTTCGTTAACTCAATAAACGTGAAAACCCTACGGTTAAAAAAAAATACGAATTTAACTCTTCGAAATTAAGTTAGCTCGTTTAAGAAAAAGTATTTCATTTTTTTCTTTTTTATAAAAAGTAGCCGCTAACCGACCACTATATATATTAGTGAATCCACGAGGTATTGGACACAATGGGATTGCGGCAAAAGACTTTTTTTTTCTTTTTTATTTCTTTTTAACTGCAGGGATACTTGTGCGCGCACTTCGCGTGTTCTCTATTATATTGTATATAATAATATTCTTTTCTTTTCCGTTCTAAAACATACTATACATAATACACTACAACGTTTACCTAATACCTATTACACCCGGAGCGTCATAACTTTGTTTTTTAACAGCTTAAAAAGTTTCTCGCGAAACATTTATAATATTATAGGTAGGCGTAAACGGACCACGAAAAACTATTATATCGTTTTATAAAAAAAAAAAAAATCGTACAACTATATTATTATATTTCTTCACAATACGAATAATATTATATTATGTAACCTCCGATGTATACATTATTCTCGAAACGTGATTGTTATTGTCAATTAGCACATGTGGAGGTTTCATGTATTATGTTATTATACATATACAGGGTGCAGTATCTGAGGGCAGTGTTGTGTGTACTATCATCTAGATGGGAACAATTGTGTCTCGTCTCTTATCTCATCTAGACAAGCAAAACAGGAGTTATCTGAGAGAAAAATAATCGAACCGTCAATATACGTTTTTCGTGAACCGAAATTTATATTTTATTATGATCAAATTAATTAACTATCGAGTTACCTGCAACATCAATCATACAACATTTTAGCGTTTATTTTTTTTCGAGTGCCAAATCTGGTACACTCATAATTTTTTTATCTAGACAAAAACTCCCCGATTATGTTATATATTTTGTTTTATAGATTATTGAATTGTTATGTATCTAGATAACTATTTCAGCAATTGTATCGTATATTTAGTCAGATATTTTAAAATGTATACTTTATTTATGCACAACACGCAAATTCCGCAGAATTTTAAAGTTTCCCATGCAATTACATGCCATACGTAGAAACACCCTGTATAATAAATAAGTAAGTACGTCGCGCAATATTTGTTTTGCCAATGTATCGTGTTTCGCACGTACTCGTCATCACGTTATTATTTTATCGTAATAGCGATTTTTATTTGCTGTTCCGTATGTTTATATTTATACTGCACATACCTATAGAAGTTCTTTATTTTACTCTTGTAGAAACTCGAAAAAAAAAACCGAAATATCGTTTAAAAACTTTCTCTTTTTATTTTTTTACGATTAATATATATATATACAATTTTTTACACTGGTGCACAATCGCGACAAATTATATATCTATACTTTAGTTTCTCGAAATCGGTTACAGTGGTACAGATACAAACGTTGTTATTACCTATACAATAATATGTAGTATAAATTATTGTTTCGAGTGTCAAATTTCGTATAGCGAAAATCGCCAATCGCGAAACGTCATACATTTTTAGGTAATAATAAATGACTATGATTTTCTTTATTTTCGTGTAAAACAATTGATAATAAAAAAAGAAAAAAACCAAAATCGAAATAATGTAGTTTCGAATAGATAACGAAAAAAAATACGTCCGAATAAAATAAAACACAGGGTTTTTTTTTCATAGTATAGTAACACTTATCAGCTTATATACGTATTATCTGACAGTAAAGCATGTTAATTTTTTTCCCACGTTTTTCTTTATGCGAATTTCCAAAAACATACGACGAAAAATCGAAAATACTCGAGTCTGATTATCGTCGACTTCGGGTTTTCAAACTGAGTGAAACCGTATAGTGTTTAAAAATCAAATTCCAGAATATCGTAAATACTTTGTGTTAGAGCGTTGTGGATTGATAATCAGAGTCGTGCGTGACGATGGGTTTTTCAGCTCCTTTGGCCGTCACACAGAAAAATGCTCGCTCCTATATCCTACTTGGCCTACCACCAAGCAGTTTTCGTCAAAACGTTATATTTCTATTGAATGTAAAAGTTTTGAATTTCGAGCGCACTTCCGAGACGCGTTCTCGGGCCTGAACCAGTCTCGTCGAGTCCTACAATAATGTTACTTACATTATTATATAGATAGAAGGTATTTAATCGGTTTATAAGCAGTGGTTTTTTCGTTTTTTTTTTCTTTATGACACGTGTTTCGGGACCGTAAAATTTCATCAAACGTAACGAATTTTTAATAATTTGATTGATTAATCGCCCGGACGAACGAGACGGTGCGAATTAGGCGGAAAATCGTACACTCATACATACAGGCGCGCTGCCGTTCAGTTTGCGGGAAAAAAAAGCCGACACATTGCTAACGACACGATTGTCGTGATAATAACATTATTATTATGAAAGAACAAACAGTTTGAAAGATGTCCGGGTAACGTAATGCGCACAAATATTGCGATCGGGACGTTCTAATAACGAACGAGTTTTATTGTGTGTACACGCGCGATTTTGACGAGAGACGAGATTATTATTGCAGTGTATAAGGAAGACTCGGGTTTTCGTATCAAATATTTCCGTTTAAATTAGATCGGCCGTAGTTTTCTGGTGTGAAAAACGTATACTATACGTTTATCATAATAATGGTACGCATAATAATATTATACTCGACTATATAAGGCTGACACGCACGTGGTTTCCGATGGGTTCTTCCCAGGTAATCGTTTTTTTCTCTCTCTTTTTTTTTTCAACGAAACATTAGTTAAAAAGAACTGGAACATTCGAGTATACGCGTGTAAATACAATCTCAAAGTATGCAGTTCACTAAATCATGTTATAGCGTAATCTAATCCGATATTCTCGTATACCAATTGAATACTAATATCTATATTATAATAATAATGTATTGTATTGATTTTTGCGGATTTGCATAGATTTAATATTGTTCGTAAAAACCGTTTTACCAATCCCACGGCGGTTGTTCGGCCATTTACATACAGAAATTATTATTAGGGTTTTGGGATAAAATGTTAAAAAATAATAAGATTTTATCATGTTGATGTTAATGATTTTTTTTTTTAAGAAACACTAAAAATCGAAGAAAATAAATAGAAATAGGGAGGGAGGGAATTTAAAAATTATATTTAAAAAAAGCCTGCAGACATATACTTATTGCACCATTCGTAAGCCATGGTTTTAGGCGGGGTGGTATGGATTAAGATATAAGATATATAGAGTGAGTAAAGTAATTTGGTTCATAATATACTGAAAGTAACGATAGCTAATATTTAGATTTAAAAAAAAAAATTTAATGGAGTAATATTAGTGCGGTAGGAGTCGTGCTTTTTCTTTAGAGTTGCCAAAGTAGTCCAAGAATTCGTAAAAAAAAAACTAATGTATCATAATTTGTTGTAGGTTTTTATTTTTAGAAAAACTGTTGGAAATCTATATTGTTCAAGAGTAATGTAGTAACTTTTTTTTACAAACATTTAAAGTTCAACTTCATATGGAAATTTTGGCATTTCAAATGATCGTTCAACTGACATGTGGGAACGACGAACCGATTCGGAGCTTGAGCAAATGTTCGGTGAAGTGGATATAGTAGCAATGATAAAGAGGAATGGTATTAACTGGACAAAACAAATTATACGTATAACACGAGATCAGACAATTCGATAGAGGGGAAGGGGAATGGATTCCCAATGAGAAGATACCACTAGGACGGATAAGACAAAGATAGATAGATAAAGTTAGTGGAACCTGCAAATTCTAGGAGGAATAAACGACTAAGAATTAACTAATGACAGAGAATCATGGAGAGGCGACATGGTTGCGTTGAAGGTCCTGAATGACATCTATCAAGCCAGGAAGATCTCTATTTTTTTTTTAATGTTTCTTATGTTACTTTTACCCTTAATTTTTCATAATTTCTCCCAATTTACCATAAATCGATAATGTCTGTTATTTTAAATTTTGAGTAAATTGAGGAATGTATGGGTTTTACAATGATGTTTATTTCTTTGTTATTTATAAACAACTTTTCTACCAAAAATTTTGCACCAATTTTCTAGTGTAGTATCTTTTCTGAAAGAAAATTTGATCAGGGTGGTACTTTAGAGGGGTAATTTTTTTTTAAAAAAAAAAATGCTTTACTATTTTTAATTTTGGTTATAATTCAGTTAAAAATAATCATAGATATTTGAAATTTGGACAGAAAACTTATATTCATCTTTCCTAGACACGGTTAAATTTTCAAAATATTTGGGCTATTTTTGAATATTCATGAACCCTTTAATTTTATGAGTTATTCATGTAATTTTTTCGGGAGGTACTCTGTGGATAAATTGTTAGATCATACAGAAATGCTTGAAAATTTAACAGGAGTTTCATTATAATTGACGCTTAGTAATCAAAACAAATCACTGTAGCATACAATTTTTATTTATATGAATTTTTTTTTTTTTAACTTTGATGAAAATCATAAATATTACGGTTTTTCAAAACCGAACTCAGCTCAGAGTTGTTATAGCAATGATTGCTCGTTGCGTACAGATATAAATTCAAATCCCCATTATATCCTACCTTCTCGACTTCTCACCTATAACAGTGACCACCCCATCGTGCGAAGCATGTCAGTCTTTTTTAGTACAATTTTTAAATTTTAAATTTTTTTTCGAGAAATTGACTCGAGCCTTTTTTCCCCTCGAACAAAGATGTAATAATACTCAAACAGTTCGATTAATGTTTTCATTGATCCACCAACGATAACAGTCGACGGGACACCTCGGGTACGTTTTGTTAATAGTATTATAACGCACGATGAGTGACTGTTCTCGTTGATAATAATAACGAAACTAAAAGCCGCGGAAAACTCCGTGGTTGTTATTATTATTATTATCGTTTTACACGCCCGGGCGTGAATCGCGAAATGTTTTGTGAAGTCCGTACGAGTTTTATTTTTTATTAAATACAAAAACTATGGGAATGCGCGTTTTTTTTTTATTATTTTGCCATCTTTTGCTCCGAAATTTTAACCGGCCGAAAAAAAAAAAGAAAGAAACCACTATATATTTGAATGATTAATTGCGTAGATAATGCTCTTAATGCGCTTTTTAGACGGGTTCGCGCACACACAATACCGGCGGCGCGAGCTTACGCGCGCCCCTACAAACACGTGTAGTTAATATTATAATTTATACGACGGCGAACGCATTGTTTTGATAATACTATTGCGGCCGCGAACGTTGGTAAAACAACGTATTTTAATAATGTTGATGACAATAATAATAATTGTGTTAAAACCGCGTAATCGAAACGATTAATTATTCATTGTTTGACGATGGTTTTAAATGTGTCGTTGCAGCACGTCGATGCGTTTGTCGAAGAATCGTTGCACGATTTCTACAAGTTCGACGAGATACTCAGGCAAGACCGGTCCATGTGCGCGCGGAAAATGATATGCCAGATCGCGGCCACGCCCAAAAGTCAACTCAACCAGGTGGAAATCAATCTGCTCAAAATACTCAGGTGAGTTTTTCCTCCCGTCTAAAGGCCACACGTGTGTTATAGACAACACACATATACTCTGTAACTAAAGTGACTTTTTAAAATGTCTTGTCCGCAATTTTTGTGAAAATTATACGGCGATTACTGCGGCGATGAGTGTCTCTCTCTCTCTTTATTTTTCAATTAGCGACGGGCGTCGACCGATATTGAAGCCATCGGAATATCCGGACATCCGGGTTTTTTTTTTTCATCGGAAAAGAATTCATATCAGCTCATCACTATCATGTACCGGTAGTAAAGCGCTAATGTCCCACAGTAATAAAAAATAATGAAAACGTTATGTATAATATATGTAGCGGGAAATGAAAAATTAATCGTGACGTTCTTGAAATGTTTATTTCAACGTAGTGATTCTAATTTATTACCATAGTAGAACGTACGATAATTAAATATTCTGTACTCGATTCCAATACATATATATATATATATATATTTGTGTATGCACGGTCGATAAGAGGGGATAGGGGGTTCAGACCCTTAGCCCCCCCCCCATCACGCGTACGGCGCTGTATGCATTGCGTTGTCGTGGCCCGTACGTTACGCGCGTTCCGTTTGGAAAAAAAAAAAGAAAAAGAAAAAATAGAAAAAAGAAAAAAAAAAGTCCACCTCCGCCGGCGAATCAAACGGCGAATGTAATACAATTCCGAACGCGCATTACGTCCGCGAAAACGTCGTATGCGAAAACGATGTCGTTCGTGCCGTATACGGCGGGAGGGGTGGCGGGGGGGGTGGGGGTGTGGTGGGTTTTACTTGCACGGGATCATATTCGCATTATTCGCCGTTGTGTAACAGCATTCGTTATTATTATTGTTATTATTTTTCGCGTCATAATGATGTGTGTTATCTAATGCTCGCACGGGTTTTCATTGTACTCGACGATTGACTTTCGTCTCGCAACAATACTAATACTATCAATACGATTACGAACGTCGGAGTCCGTTCGGGAAATTCGGCGGCCCGCGAGAGTAAGAAATAATTGATAAACTCCTTAAAAAAAAAACAATAACAACGACAATATATTGCACGGGTATATTATAATACGTGTCCACCTATAATGCTTATCTCGCGTGAACGGTAGTCAACTCGATGTAATCAAATAAAATATACACGATCGTTGTTATTATTACGCGATTCGATGTTTCAGAGAAGAACGAGGAAATCTGTTACCATTCATTTCTAAGGAGCCGCCGTGTAATTATTATTGTTGTTATTATTGGTTTTTTTTTTTTTCTAATATTTTTCTCTCGTAAATCATTTTTTTTCCCCTGAGGTTTTTTCCGGGCCGGCGGTAAGAACCGCAGTGAAATTTTCGATACATAAACAACTATATACATCCACGGATGTTCGTGAAGTTGGCAACGTCCCTTCGTGCTGTACAGACTTCAAACCTACGTCTATTTGCCAAGTCATTTTTAAAATTTGCATGTCCTCCAATTTTCGAGAAAAACGGGTTTTCTCTTGGCGGTGCCCGGTTAGGTTAGGACGCGGAAATTATACCGATTTTTTAAGTCCTGGCAATAGTTTATAAAAGTTCACCTTTTATGTGTTTTTTTTTATAAGAAAAAATTAGTTAACCTGGCAGAAATATCGAGTCCAGGTAATTAAGTAATGTATTTTTCATTCATATTTCATAAAAAACCCCAACCTTATTAGTCTTCAAATTCTATTTTTTTTTTTTTTGTTTTTTTTTTTTTGCTATCCTCGGTAAATATTATTGACAAATTATGTATTTATTGACAATTTTGATAATACCAACCACTTAGTGATCACTACAGGATCATTAAAGAACATAGAATCTGCTCTATTTGACATAACATCGTCCATCGTTCGATTCTCACAATACACCGTTAAATAAAAAAAAAAAAACCTATTGAACGGTTGATATAATTAATTTCAAAAGAAAAAATAAATTTTGTTGATAACCTCTTTTTCATATAATTGTAAAAATGGCATCAATGGAAAATTTCAAATTTTATTCGATAAAAAGTCAAATTCAATTTGAAAACCAAAAGATTGAAAATAAATTAAAATATAAAGCCTACCAGCCTACTACTACGAGTCGTATCATGCAAATTTTCTTTGTCGTCGGAACAATAGGCAAAACAAAGCGTTAGGGTTTTTCCGAAACGGATCGGGTCGCAAATAACGTTGGAAACCGTCGGGCTGGCGTCCGAGACACGGGGACCCGACAAGTTGAGTGTGCGGTTGGTCGAACTAGACAAACGGTAACCGCTGTAACCGCATATAATTATAATTTATCGAAAACGGGGCTCTGCCGCTCGTATGGTAAATTTCTTCGCTTCCCCGATTAGGATTAAATTGCGAAAAGGTCAATCGAGTATACCGAATGTATAACATTATTACTATTATTCTCTTCAAATAACTTTAATTCGATAGCGTTGAACTCCGTGCGTATAACGTTTTTAAATTATGATAATAATCTTCTGTGAAAATATTCTCATGAACGGACGATATTCGATAATTCCCCCCTCCCTCTCAAAATGTATAGTTAGTGACTTTAAAAAAAGGACAAAAAGTTGGACTACAGTGTATGCGGTTTTTATTTTTTCAGTCTATTAACAATTGTCCTACCTGCAGGAATCTCACTCCAACCAAGAGACAAAAAGAGAGCAATTTTCAGTAGTATTTCGAATTCAGTTGGTGAATTGAAGAGGTCATTTATTTATTTCCTAAGTAGTTTTCTAAATGAATGAGAAGAAGATCGGGCAAAAAAACCGTAGAGAAAATGGGAAATATAACGGTATCATTATTTTCGCCTTTGTTTTTGTAATTTGATTAAGAACAATTGCAGAGACCTAAAATTTTCAAATGATATTTATATTAGAACTTTTTGAACGTGTTAAAATTTTCCGAATATTTTGATTTTGAGTTATTTATAAGCATTTGAAATTTTTTATTTTATTGTTTTTTTAGTTATTATTTGGCTTATGCGGAAAAAAATGTTTCAGCTAAACATAAAGTTTATTATAAGTTGACCTTAATGGTAAAATTAAAAGTTTTTGAAGTTCAAATTTTGACAAAAATCCTAAAAATGACTGCATTTCAAAATATGTATGACCGAACTTTCCTCAGAAATGAGCTTCGTTAGCATTGAGTTATCGTTGCATGTATCACTCCTTCCTAACTTCCCATCTATCTACAGTGGAATACCAGTCAGTAGTATCAGCTTTTTTTTTTCGATCATTGGTGCATTAATCGCGCATTATTCTTCTTCTACATCTTTACCTTAACTATTTGAGATCGGTCACACTCATCCTGAACTTAACCAAAATGACCCGATCTCTCACATCAACTTCGCATACGCATGTTCATAATATTTTTAATTATATCCAACCACCTTCTTCTCGGACATCCTCTTCCCCTATTTCCTCCTATACGTTTACTTCCATTGCTGCTTCCGATTTCTGTTTCCTCGTGATAACACGCCCAAACCATATCAATTAATTAATTTGTCTGTCGCATTATTTTATAGAATTATTTTTATTTTGTCGTATACGAGAAACTACATTCGGATTAAAATGTATAATAATATTCGGTGGTAGATATCATCGCTGCCACCGGTGTTGAAAGTTTATGCATATTTCTGTGCATCGCGATGACAGCGCGGAAATCCGGTGAAAATTGTACGTAATAATATAGCGTGATGCACTTAAAAATTTATTGCAACGTTCACTCTATGACCTTTGAAGTGTTGTTTAAAACAAAATTAGAAATAAATCAAACGTGCGTCGAAAAATGTATTCACCCCAATAGGGTATAATAAGACGTATTATAATATTTTGTTTCGTTTTATATCGCGTGTAGACCGATGTCGGAAAAAAAACGATTGTTGTTTAATTAAAATAAAACTAAACATAATTGCAATAACGAAAGATTAAATAGCATAATCGTTTTGCTAAATAACGCTCTCTATTCAGAAAAAACTCATCGTGCTAGAGACTTAATTAAGAAATTGAATTTTTACCACAGAAAAAGATGGACTTGCGTTGCGTAACGTTGCAGATTTTATTTTTACGATATTACACTTATTACCAAACAAGTTATTATTGTTTAAAAATCTGATAATTTAAAATTATACAAACAGCGATATCGAACAACTAAAACGAACGTTGCACAGAGAAAATCCTCTATGTTTTGTGGTAAAGATTTTGTCTCTCAACTAAATCCATGGTCCAAGTGGTTTTTGCCCACGCGAGACGCATTTTCATAAGCGTTTTTTTTTTTATGTCACGATTGCGCAATAAATTATCATTATGATATGACACGGTACTACGACTACGGTAAATGTATTTGAATATTATTGAGTTGATTAAATTTCATTTTCCCAAAATTGTCGATAAATTGTTTATTCACGACCCCTTAAAAACAGCACTTCCACTTAAAAATTGAGCATTATTAAAATTTATATTATGATTTGTAGGTATACAGCGTTGTTGGAATATAATATCTAGTATTGAATTATAAAAATTTAAAAACAATTGTTCTATAGGCCCTAGCAGGTTACGGTGCTATATTTTTCGTTTTTACTATAGACAAATACTTTTAGTGATAGTAGGAAAAAAAATTATGATCAAGTGATATCCGGGAACTGTTTGGATACTCATTAGAAGATATATGGTTGCTGAACATGTCCATAAATCTATAAGATCAAATTCGTATAATTTTCATATCCTATGCTCAAAATCGGTTTTAGAACGGTAATTTGTTTGGTAGTTTCGATTAAAAAAAAATTATAGCGATATTTTTTTTAATTTCTAAATTTTATAACAATTTGTTTTTTTTAATGAATCGCTAATATAATATTTTGTTTTCTCTGCATGTCTCGCACGCGTAATATAGCGACAAAGCGACATTACTCGCTGGTTCCGCAACTGCAACTCTCCAGTCGAGTGTAGAGCAAAGGGACCGACTATATACATGTTAAAAAGAAAATTATTTACTATGTTGCATTTCTATACAAGTTATTATAACGATTAGAAAATTAAATTAAATTAAAACACACGCATTGTCTTAAAAAAACAAAAAAAAACAAAACAAAACAAAAACCGAAAATTCGTTCGTAGATAAGCCCGATAGTAAATACTGTTTTTTACAAATCGCAGCGTTATAACAGGCCTCGTCGTCCTAGAGAACTCGACCGGAGAGACGAAATCGCGGAAGTGCGCGTAACGCCTTTGTCACTATATTACTGCAGAGGAGAAAACAAATGTCAGCGACCGCGAGTTCCCTTCTTAATCCGTTTTCTGGTCGTGACAGTCGCGCGCCAGTTATACACACCTGTACTCATAACATATCCACGAACGGGCGACATTTTTTTTTTTTTTTTATTATTATTTAATTGGCACCGTTATGGCGTACTAGTCGCACAGAACGGAAATTCCGTGAGGCGCGCGCGCGTGTATACCTACATCGTTACGTCGACATCCGGGACATCAATCCGGAAGCAAGCAATTATTTTGTACGCGTGATATTAAAAATATTGTTATTTCCCGCGGATTCGCAATCGCGGTTTACGGAGAGATTGACCCCCCCCGTTACAAACAATAATACGCGTTATGCAATAGTATACATTACAATTGTTTACGCGGCATTATATTTTATAAAGTTCGAGTCACTCCGCCGCCGGAGCCGTATTAGCCTCCGGGAAAATAACCACTTTGGATCAATATGGTGTGGTCACCTATTACCTACCTACTTACCTACTATTACCTACCCATAATTATTTCAATAGTTCTATGGTAAATTTTTATAGCATAGGTACCTATAATACCTATTATATAAGCCGGTGGCATGCACGGGACGAAGCAAACAATAATCACGATTCGTGAATAAATCGCATAGAATCTTCTTCAGTCACAAATAACAGTTATAGAATTTAAAAGCCGCATCCGAAAAAAAACCAAATTTTTTATTCGATAAATAATGCTTTAAGCCAATAAGTACGACGGAAATTTGACTAAAATGTCAAGATAAAATTACTATATAAATACTCATAGTAGTTGTGTTTGAATTCAATGGGAGTGATATGCACCAACTCCTAATATCTCTTTTACGTTATCACTAATCAGAGTAGTTGACATATTATTATGAGAAATTTTCTAGTTATTATATACAGGTGTTTCGCGAAGATGTAACACCAGAAATCAATTTTTTTCCGTTCAATATTTTCAGTTTTTCTTTTCTTGTAGTAACTAAATTTTATATTTTTTTGAAAACTAAAAATAAAAATATTAAATTTTAAATTTTAAAAAGATATAATACATACTTCGCAAGAAGTACTGATGAACTGTACATGAACTGTTATAGGTGAGAAGTTGAGAAGGTAGGATACATAGGAGAATTTAATATACGAGGTACGTCGAGAAAGTAAGTTCCGTTGGGCAATAAAAACATGTAAATGTGTAAATTTTAATATACATTTTATTTGAATATAAAATAAATGTATTACTTTATTTTTTAACATAGTTACCACCATTGTTTAAGCACTTATCATATCGAAGTACTAATTTTTATATCCCTTCATCATAGAAAGATGACGCCTGTGATTGTAACCATGCGCTAATAGCCTTTTTCACCTCATCATCTTCGTTGAAGTTCTGGCCACCCATAAATGATTTCATGTGTAAAAAAAGATGAAAATCATTGGGTGCCAAATCTGGATTGTAGGGCGGATGATTAAATTGTTCCCATGCAAAATCTGCAAGAAGTTGTTTCGTCACATTTGCAGTGTGCGGGCCAAAGATGGTCGCTCAGTTCGTCGTGAACATTTGGACAGGCTTCATTGAAAAGTCTCACCCATCTCCTAACCATTGAATCACTCATCGCATTTTCTCCATAAACTTCACAAATTTGATGATGAATATCAACTGGTTTGATATTCTTTGCATTTAAAAAACGAATCACAGATCGTAACTCACATGTGGCGGAATTTTCTATTAGTTTATCCATTTTAAAACACTTNAAATAAGTAAATTAAATAATCGGATATGACCGTAATTAAGATAACATCGCAAACGCGATAAAAATAGAAAACGGAACTTACTTTCTGGACGTACCTCGTATATCAGAGCGAAACGATTGATCTTTGCTATCGAAACACGATTTTGAGCGGATTTCAGTTTTACTTCGGTTACATTGACTGTTTTGAAAGACTGTAATATTTACTATTTGAAAATAACATATTTCGTGAATTTTTTGCTTTCCTACGTTTTTTCCCATTTTTTATGAAAAACAAAAATTACCTTCTTAAAGTAAGTACCACCCCAGTAAAATTTGTTTTCAGAAAAAGTGCTACACAATTCGAAGTAAAACTTCGGGTAGAAAATGTTTTACAGAAAAGAATAAAAATAAACATCATTGCGAAACCAGTACATTCCTTACTCCGCTCAGAAAATAGTATTTATAAAATCCAAGATAGATACAAACATACGAATTTTGAAACAAAATGTTGGTGTTAAAATATTATGGTTAATGATGGTTCGCTAAGTTTTTAGAATTTGTTGAAGTTTACAAAATTATTTTTCATGAAAAAATGTATGAATCGATTGATATTATGGTATTATTAAGGACTATGGAAACGATTGAAATAATTATCATAAGCTTAAATGTTTTAGAGAATTGATAAATCATCATTAGTAAATATTAATAACACTAACATTTTTAATTCAAAATATTTTATACTTAGAAAATGACTATCTTGGATTTTGTTAAAATATATTTTTTTTTAATTTGCATTTATATTTTTAGTTGAAAAAAAAAAAAAAAATTAAAAATTATCGATCAGACAAAAGTTACTTCAAGTATCATATGTTCGTGTCTGTGTAGTAAACTACTAATGCAGACAATTTCTCACAGTAAATTATATTATACATACAATTTTCCATTGTACAGTAACTATACTCGGTAGTTAGTCCAAAAAGACTAATATAAGAGATTTTTAAGTAGGTTTTTTTTCTATGTAGTTTGAAGTAGTTTTTTTTCCTGAGGGGGTGGCTTTTTTACGGCCAACACGTACGCGTACACTTTCATCTCTCGCTTACTGTAGTTTTATTGTCCGTGTCAGACGGAAAACACATGCGGTTTTTCGACTAGCCCGTTTGTTAAGAGGACGACGCGCATTTACCGTCTCTATCTAAACAACCGGCAATATAGCAAAATTACGTTTCTAAGAACAGTGGCGTTTACGTTTAAATAAAAACAACAAAATTTAAAGAGGAAGGTTTTTTTTTCGAAAAACTAACATTGCTATATATTTTTGTATGATCATTTTTCGCTTTAGAAAAGACCTATCCCTGATGGCTTTCGAATATTCTCGCCACTTTAATTTTCTGTGTTTAGACTCTAATAATATATTGTCAATTTAAACGTCACAATTTACGTGTATTTTGTATGAAATGTAATTTTTCTATGTTGCCCGTTAGTTGGACTGAGACACTCAAAGTGCATGTATAGTCATGTATATTTCACCCATAAAGGCCGGTATTACTTCTACAAAAACCACTTACGGCCGAACCCGATGTAAACCCAAATAATATGGTCCTTTCAATTGAGGAAACGAGAAGCATAGGATACCGTAAATTATTTAAACGTAATGTAAAATGATAATATATAGAACTTGAATACGTCCAACATGCAATATATCTGAGAGTCACTCCGGATAGTTTCCTAACGTCGTATCCATCTCATAAAACTTTAACATCAAAAATAACTACACGGAACGGGCTATTACGTAAACGTAAACTTACAGAGAGCAATTGGGGAATGCAGCCACATATTCTGAGAACCTATGCCCATCAACAGGCGAATACGAATCACCAGCGGTTAACCCAATGAAACAAAACATGAAAATTGAATGAAGTAATGTTTCTACAGAACCCCTCGGGTTGTTTTGATATAAAATCTAACCTAAAATGCAAATTCATGCTAATTGCATGCTAAATATTGGCACAAAATATAAAATTTGGAATGAAGGAGGGGAGCTAATGAAGTGTGCGTTGTATAGTCTTCCTTTAATTCATTTAATTCTCTCTCTGTGTGTTTCTTAAAAAAAAAAAATGTGTTTAATATTGTAAATGTCAACGATTTTCAGAAAAAGAGTTGGCTGATTTTTCTTCTATTTATATACTTTTACTATTGCGCCTCGTGTTGATAACAGTCGATTTCGGTGCGGCCGGCGAACAACTGACGCAATGCGGTATTATCAAGATTCCCATAGCGCCACTAGTCTGTTTTATATAATATAATATCAATAAGCCCGTATACCAAAGGCTGTGTAGGTCAAATAGGTAGGCAGTAAAAAAAAAAAATAAGAGAAAAATTATTTTTTTTTGTTTTATACGTTTCTGTTTTGTTTTATAATTGACTTTAGGTTCTGCAAAACAGTCGCAGAGAAAATAACTTGTATATCCATAATCGTAAATTATAATAATATATTCATGCAATTTGCGTCCAGCACTTTATCGTTCGGTCTCACACGCAAACCGGGAAAATCGTCGCGTTTCAAAAAAAAAAAAAAAAAAAAAAAAAAAAAATACAAAAAACTTCCAAGTTATCGCACGAGGTTGTAGGCGTTGTAGGCGTTGTTGTAGGCGATACTACCTATTTTTAGAAATAATTTTTTATTCCATTATTCGAGTAAAAATATTATAAACTCAATGTATGTAAATTTTTCAAGAAATACTTTTACATAATTGAATGTTGTACAGTCTCAAACATGAGATGTCTGCTGTAATTGCAGAATAACAATATTTTTTACGATATTCGAAAGCCGTTTTGCCGTTTTATTTTATTTTATTTTTTTTTCAATTTCCGGCCGTATATTTATATAACACGTTTTTGTTATTTCCCCACCTAAAAATATTACTAGGACGACGCTGGTATACCAATTCTTATTTCCACAAGAGTGTGTATACGAAAGTTGAATTGCAAACGACAATAATGTTCGAATAAACCCAAAAACGAGATATGTGTCGGGCGAGTTTTGGTTTTTTGAAATCGAAACGAGTCGAGTAACCGGGTATACGGGTATCGAAAAACACCGACTCTACTCGAAAAAACTCGAAAAACTCTAAAAACAATATTTTATCCGTTAAATTTGTTTTCTGAAAAACGACAAGTTAGGTTAACACATTCCAATGTTACGCGAGCACGTACTTTCGATCGGGTATTATCTAATAATATTATTTTTTTCAAAATCGTTTTTCTACGACTCTCGTAAAAATCACTGGACAAGAATCTCGTATAGCTTACTCGTGCTATTATCTGTTAAATTTATATTATTCGTATAATAAAATACGAGTATAGTCCCGAAGACTCGTCAAACGGTTTTAGCGACATAATATAATAATCGACGGGTATAATACAGCGGTACTTCTCAAAAATGTTTTGTCATAGGCCTCCTAAATTTAATGTAAAACTGTCAAGGCCCTTCCTAAATCAAAATCGTTAATTATTTCTTCTCAACTGTATACTAAAATTACATGCATTATTAATCACACTAAATTAATTATTAAAATGCATAGTAAATAAATGTTTTTTAATATAATTTCGAAACAATATTATAATAGTATTAAATTTTAAACATGTATAAACAAAAATAAATTAGTAATAGCTGCAAAACAATATTTAAATATTAAATTTATTATTGTTAAATAACAGTTATCTAACATTAGATTTTATCGACAATCATATTAAATATATTATTTAATAACTAAATAACCGAAAATATTTTAAATTGAATAAATATTTCACTGCCCACCAGTCATATAGCCATGGTCCCTAGTTTGAGAAGCACTGCAATGCAGGTTCGATGAGGTCTTGATCGAGATCACCGAAAATCCAAAATGATTTAACAAAATATTACAAATACGACCGGTCAGCGCCATCGCGTGACTGTGAAAGTGTTTTTTATGTAATTATTATATTATAGGTATACCTGCCTATACTTTCTATTTTTTTTTTTTTTTTATTATTTATTTATAGCTATTGATTTATGATATTTACCGTTCCGCGTATAAATTAATATATTCGGTGTTTGCTTTAAAATCGTGATGCGGTGATATACTATGAAAATAATGGTCTTCGGGGCATTATTACCATAATATATTGTAATAAAATATTACGTCTCTGCTGTTGTAGTTGTAGGTACACGTTTCGACGACGATGGTCGTTCGCGAGACGAGTGAAAATAACATTTCGCATTTATTAATATAATACGTCTTATCGAATAATTCTAACCGATGTTCGTAAATAATGCGGTATTCAAAATTAAAATACATTATTACGCTCATAAATGCACAAAACTGACGCGTACAATATTATTGTTCGGAAACTGTTTTCAATGCAATTGTCACGGTGCAGTTTTTACTAGTATAGCTCGAAGTGCACGTAAGCAATGGCGTTCCGAGAGTGTCGCGTTGTGTATCGTGTCTGTCGTATTTATCATTTTCCCGGTACTTTTGAATGGGTACTTTTAGCGGCTTCCTCTGGACCAAACGAACTCGAACTCGGGAATCGGAGTTGTTTTATTTAGCCTATAGGTAAATTTAGTAACGCCGAATTAGAGGTTCAGGTCTGGTCGATAACAGACAACATTTTCTGGGAAGTAGTGGTGATTATAGTGGTTTACGGAATTGTGAACGGATACAATGTTTGATAAATATTATAAACAAATGTTTAAGGGGAGTGGGGTACGGAGAACAAAGTGACTCCACAGTCATATCTTGCGTGTGCATAAATAGGTAAAAGTGATGGTTAGGACAACTATGATGACTATTGACCAGACCATTCAAAATCTGATTCTGCGCCACTGGCTATATTAATAATGTATGTGTGAAAAGTATAGTTTTTTTTTTCTGAGGTAGGTGAAGTGTTGAAGTTCATAACACCTAGGGCAACCGTTCCAATTTTCAAAAACCTGGGGCCTATCACGATCTATGGGCTTTTGCGAAAACGGCGCGTCTCCGTTGACAGTCTAAAGGTGTATTCGAATTAACAGTTCTGCTATAAACGCGATTCGATAGTAACAATAATTATTACCTGAAATCCAACACTAACTTACAGTGCGTGCGTGTAATTTGAGTAGACAGCAACCGTCTCGGCACGGCGTCGCACGCAAGTACACTTAAAAAATAATACTCGTATGTGTTAAACTCGCTGATCGTTTATCGCCCCTGCCACCCCCCCCCCCTCACAACCTACACCCAACTCCTTTTATAGAGATTTTACAACAGATTTTTTTTAAATATAGGGTGGTGAGGTCGTAAAACCTGCGGCTTAAAAATAACTATACGTCATATATAATAAGCGTCGCTTCGCAATGGACGCGTCACCGTGCGGATATAATTTATACAAATTAAATACAAAATCAACACTTTTTCAACGCTAACTAACATACATTAAGTCGATAAGGATACATTTATTAATAACAATTATTTATTGGAGTTTTGTAATTTTACCGTCCCACTCGGAAGTATTTTTATTTTTAGTACATATTTCATTATATAATTTTCCTGGCTTTATTAAGCACTTCGATACTACACAACTTGTTCGGCTTTCAGAAATAAAATACCTTTTATAAAAACAATTTAGATTGCAATATTTTGAAGAGAACCACATAATGCGTTTATATTATGCGTTTTTCAAAAATAGATACAAACGGAGAATTCATAATAAATAAATAAAATTAATTTTACTATTACACAGACGTTTTATCTCCTAAAAAATTCTGTGGAGTAGGCGGACACTTTTTTTGTGTTTTGTGTAAACGTCTTGTTAACGTATTCGAGTTGATCGATTCTTTTAATTGTCGTTAACATTACCTATACGCGCCTCTTTTAATACCGCGGACGTGCGACGGTTTCCTCCGCAAAAATAATGAACATTATTAGGATATACATGTCGAAATTTTGAATTGTGGGTGCTGATAAAGTTGAACCCTCGACCAGACGAGTAGCGCTCTCGTTCGACGATGGCGGTGCGTTATCCGAAATGAACACAGTATACCGTATACGAAAAGGGTTTCCGCGGTTTTTCAAACAAAATAATTTATCGAAACAACGCGTCAGAAAACTTTATGGTCTTTTGGCGAAAATACTCGCCAGACTCCCCCGCAGACTCACATGACTCACATTTGCAATTACAGTAAAGTGCGATTGTTATTATTTTACACCATTGCGACACTCGGCGTTTGTGCCTACCGACCCTTACAAATTATAATCGTGTACTATACGTCTCTTTTGACGGCGCTTCATATAATATTTTTTGCTTATATTTTAAAACTAACGTGCGCCGCCGTTAATAATATTTGTTTTTGTTTTTTTTTCCAGCCCCAGCGAACATTTCGGCGATAACGCGGCCAAGGAGATTTTCCGGAAAGCCATGGACCTCGGACGGACTAAAAAGGACGTGAAGGCGTGTCATACGGAATATAAAAAGTGCAGATTCAACACGAGACAAATGTTCAAACTGTTCACGTCGTTCGTGTAAAACAGCGACGTTGTACTCCATCAATTTCAAACGAGCCTGTAAATTATATGTGCCAAAAATACGTGTATACCTGTAGCTATATTATTTTGTTACTATCTATGTATAATTATTTGTTTATCATAATATTAGTCTTGTGTTTATTTAGTTCATCAGATGGCGCGGTTTACCATAGGTATATATATATATATATATTATATTATTATATAAAAGTATTATACGTGCATAAATAATATTACGTACCCACAATATTGTTCAACTATTAATTGATATAATAATATTACTATTTTATCGTTATCTTAAAATGATTACCTAGGATAAAATTAACGTACTGTCGATTATATTTTGTATCATTGTAAATATTATTATTACATTTAATATTGTCCGTGTTTTATATTGTGATAATAGTTTCCGTTTCGATTTTTTCCCACGACCGTTAAAATCCATAGTTTCCCGCCGTACATCGTTGAGGGTAACAGTACTTTTATCCCGCAGGAGTTTCAAAACACACGCGATCCTCAGATAATTGTTCAATAAGCTTGTGTTTTACCGAAATCGACAACATTTTATTTTTAAATTACAATAATTAATACTTCTTATATGAAGTTCAATACAAACAATTTTTTTTTGGACTGAGCATAACGAGAAATATATACATTGGTTTTACTTGGCTTCGTTTTTACGCCTGTAATCAACTTTTACGAGAAATCTCGCTACGATTTTCTTGTACAGTATTTTTCCCGAGGTAAATGTTGTCTATTTGGCGGTAATCGTTCTTCTTCATGTAGTTTTCTTGATAGTTGGGAAAACCTGTCAAAAATATAGGAAAATGGGAATGTCAATGACATCAACTGTTTTATTAAATGTTTTTTTTTTTTTTAGTTCAGTTAAGAATATTTTTGGAATCTAAAATGTACGTGGAATACATATGTTATACATTTTTAAACTCTGTCAAATTTTAAAATATTCTGATGATTTTAGAATAATTTATAGACATTTCCTATTTTCGTGTATTTATTTGTGGGTATTATGTGGGTAAAATTGTTTTGGGTGAACAGTGAAATGATTTACAATTTAACACAAGGTTTATTTATTTTTTTAAAATTTTAATATTTACATTTTTTATTCGTTCGGTTTTATAGACACAGTTAGTCGTTAGTGTTTGGTTCATTTTGAGAGATAATTCTATGCATTTTTCTCTATGCCTTAATTCAACGAAAACAACACCAATTATCGAAGTTTTACACAGTTATACTTCGCAAATGAATGGCTGGATTCAGGAACTGGCTTATCATAAGATGATAAATTCACAAAACAAAAAAAAAAAAAAAAAACAAAAAATGATTTTTAATTAATTATAAATACCTATAGATTTTGACATTTAAAATAGAAAAATGTTGTAGTACTAGCGGTTTTAGAATTTATAGTACTAAATATCACATTATTATAAGGATGAAAATAGTATGCTGGGTAGGTAACGTTAAAATTAAGAATTACGTGTTGGTATCTCAACATTTTTTTAAAGAAAATTTCGTTAAGTTCATACTTTCCGAGATTCCGAAATTAGCATTGTTGTTCATAATACCCCATGCGAATATTTGGTTACGTTTGTTGTAAAACCAGACCAGTACTAAACAAAGTAAATATAATATCGTGTTCAATCGTATTCGATAAAAATATTTAAATGCGGAAATACTGCAAAAAAACCACTCCATCGTTTTCAATCGTATTGCGTAAAAAGTCGTTCCTAGTACAGTATTTTATACCGGATCTAAGCCTATGATAATAAAATAACGATGTGATTTATGAACAATTCGTTTATAGATTTCGGCGTTCGAATCGAATTTTCGTTTCTTTTTTGTATGGGGTTTTTTTTTTTTTTTTTTGTTTACCCTAGAAACATAAAGTCATAACCCGTGGCGTATTACTCTGAAATATAGTTGTCGTCGAAGAATAAAACACTATATTTTCCCGCGTATACGTGTCGAATATTGTTGCGTATTATTCAGAAATCCTTTGATTCGCTTATAACACACACGAGTGCCTGCACCTACGTGAAAATGAACGTAAAACGCGTATCGCAAATAATATTTATTCACCGGCACGTGGCCGTGTGTACGTTATGCCAAACGATTTGCAAAGAAAAACGACCGACGCGTGAGAAAAGGTTTCCCGCGCTAAAGTCTTATAATAATATTACACAGGGCTTATAATATTATTGTATTATTATGTTAAACGCTTTTGTTTACCGCGTTAAAACGCCGGTTTTCCGGGGTGTAATATTTTTTAATATTTTTTTTTTTTTTTTTTTTTTTTTTTTTTTTTTAAACGACTGACGCATACCTACCGAGAACCTATATTTTAGAGCAACGTATCAAATAAATAATTATACCACCGGGCGAAAATTCCGCATTTACGGTATATCGGTTAGCGGTAAATCGCGCGAATTATTCGTACAGGGTTTTCACTTAACGGACGCACACGAAAACTAAACGATTCATTTGCATGCACATTTCAAACTAAATCGGAATTCGAATGTGTTCGGTTTTTTCTGGGATTTAGATTCTGAATGTAGCGAACCAACATATTATAAAGTTATATTATACGCGTATATCAGTTTTACCAAGATGGATGTTTTTTTTCTCTTAGAAAATCCTTTTTGGGTTTGTAAAAATGCTCCGATCAATTCATATTTTAGTTCTCGCTAATTGTATCTTAGAAATGCTTTAACCATAGGTACCTACTTCATTTAGATTTCCAGCGGTTTTTCTTTACAATTAAAAAAAAAATGACATACTTCGCACGATGGGTGTTATCAGCCACTGTTGTCTGTTTTTCTGTGAGAAGTTGGAAGGTAGGATATAGAGGGGAATTTAATTTATATCTATATGCAGCGATAAACTATTGTTTACGAAAAACGATTCGGAGCGAAGTTTTTTACGTTTTCCTGTTTTTCCTGTGTTTTTTGCCATTTTCTTCTAATTTTTATGAAAACCGCTTAGAAAATCATAAATTGTCATCTTTTAACAACCAACTATACATACAATTTTCTTTCGGAAAAGGTTACATCGTGAAACATTTTTTACACTTGAAAATCGGAACAATATTTGTGGTAGAAAAAATGTTCACACATAAAAAAAAAAAATATACACCTTTGGTAAAATCGATACATTCCTAGCTACGCTCCGAATTTGAAATTAATTAGTTTTATTTATACAAGAGTAAAAAAAAACAACAATTGATACTTCTAAATACTATTTCACTCATTGTTATGAGTGAATAAATCGTTTTAAATCGCAATGGTTGCTTTCAGTATATAAATTAAATTACCTTCTAATAATTCTGCGTGCTGTAATAATTTAACCGTGAAATTGAAACTTGTAAAACTGTACGCGGGCTAACCAAAATAATACACTCTGCATAGGTATACGGATTACGTACTATACGTTATGTGACCTACTGAGTATAATTTCCCGTTTAGTTTGTAATTATCTACCGTGCACTTTGCGTTTAGTAGGCATAATTAATACGTGACCTATATACGAAAATATTTAGTCGGAAAACCGTACGTATTTGTCATTCAATATTTTCATTCAAAAAACACTCAAAATCAAACGACTGGCCCGACCGGAGATGCATTTTTGTACTTTATCGAATAATACGATTTAGCGATTTGATAATATCTGTGTTCGCTTAAAATTTATAGAAAAAAAAAAAAAGAAAAGAAAAGATTAACCAAACGGCGAAAGCGAGCAAAAAAATGTCCCTGAAAAACAGTGCAAGACGTGTCAGACGCGTAAATGCCAAGAAACGAATGGCTCAAGCAAGAGCAAATGAACGACCGATAAGCGTGTCTCTCGACCGGAATCAGATTAGATTGAGACGCTCCGAATTCAGAGGTAAAAACAAGGTAGCGATATAATGATAATAATAATTTGTTTATTATAGTTAAAAGAAATATATACGCGTACGGTACAGAGAACGTTACTGGAAATCGTTTTACGCCAAGGTATAACATCGTATCGTAGAATGATGAACACTTATCTTTAAAACACGCATTAACGGTAAACGAAAATTTAGAATAGTGTTTTGAAAAAGTAACGTAAATAGCGAATGAACAAGTAACAATACAAAGTGAATTTAATAATAGTGAAATTATGGTATAGGTTAGGTGTACCTGAGAAAACAATGTATCATTTGGAAATGCACGTATTTGTTTTTGTATAAAGATAATTAAAGGACAAAATTAGCGCATTAAGAATGAAAGGTGCACACATAACTAGTTTACAGTGAGTTTGGTTCTATTTTTAATAACCATAGTTTGACGCGTTTCTTAGTTATAATAGGCTTATCCATATTGTATTGAGCATAATTTATACAAGACTTAGACCTATCCGAATGAAATATAGTTACTGCATTTTGATGTTTTAGATCCAAAGCGTAGCGACGGATTAGCTTTTACAATAATGTGTTTGTTTTTTAAATATATTTTTTCTGCCTGTGAATAACTTTTCTACCAGCAATTTTGTTCCGATGTACAGAGCGTAGTACCTTTTATAAAAGGAATTATTCTCTAGTTGATCAGTTTCGATTTTAAAATGGATTTTCAAAATAATTGGAAAAAACAGGAAAAAAGTGAATTGAATGTGAAAAACATACATTTGGTAATTTTTAACATTAAATTTTGAAAAAAAATATTTTTTTCGTTAACCGTAAATCAATACCTATAAAAATATATATTCATTTTAATTGTTATTAATTATTATCAATAGTCAATAATTGTTATAATAATTTGTCAATAATATTGTTTGTCAAATATAAATTAAACACCGGCCACCACGGCTCTCAATAATCCCTGAGGCAATTGCCCCTAAAATAAATGTTCGCCACGCCACTGCAGGTGTAATACATGTTTGTTACGATCGTTAAGGGTAAAGCGCGAAGTACTGATAATGTATATATTAAGCGGGTAAGCCTATACATGGGCTACATACTATAGTGAATAGTCCATACCTACTGGGAAAAGTGAAAATATTATTTAGAAAACCTTTATTTCGTAAACTATCAAATGGAAATATCTTTCAGATCGTTGCATACGATTTTCAGCAATACCAATAGTTTGTTCATAGAATTCCGACTAATCAGTATACATTTATTGGATAATGTATACATTCACTGTTCATATGGATAAGGTCTACACATTACACTCCTTAGGCAATAATATGTACACTCAGGGGCGGATTAACGAACAGGCCAAGCAGTCTTGGGCCTAGGGGCTAAGTTGTGTAAAGGGCGCAAATATTTTTCTTCTTCCATTAAAAACAAACAATGAAAATCCGTAATTTCATTGAATTTTAGTTGAGTTATATCTTCATAGATGGTGTTTGAAGTGTACGGCTGCTGGTGGCCTATATTACGTTGGACACCGTAAATAATTATTCCTATCGGTTTTATCTTATCATGTTCTATGATTATACCAGGTTTACGACAACATCAAATTGATTGAATGCATTAATTCTATTGAATATAGAAAATTAACTTCTTCAAAGCTTGGATTATTCTGATAAAGTAATTGAATTTGCTACCAGGAAATCCAGGAAAAAATTAATTGAAATTAGTATTTTATGTAAATGTAATTACGTTTACATAAAATTACTAAGTAATTAGTATGATTCTTAGTTACTAAACACTTTATTGCACTTTGTTTTTATATAATTTTTTTCAATGTAAAATGCTTGATTAAAAAAATGAATACAGGAGATTTTAGATTCTGAGTGGAGCGAGGAATGTATTGGTTTTACAATGGTGTTAATTTTTTTTTTCTATTAACAAATTTTCTACCAGCAATTTCACTACGATTTACAATGAAAATAAATATAATAGGGGGGGCAATTTATATAAGGCCTAAGGGCGCTAAATTTCTTAATCCGGCACTGTGTACACTACCCGTTTTTGTCACGTTTTTGTACGTTACCCGTAACGTATATTATAATATACAGTAATTATTATGTTTTCCGGTAACATATTTTGGGCAGGTAAGTATTGACATTTGTTCGCTATTAGAATAAAAAAAAAAAAAAAAAATAAAAAACCCGTACGTGTTCAATCGTAGGTTAACCTATACGTGACAGTAATATATTTAATAGCACTAATCACTCGATGATAATAATTATTGTCGGCCACGGAAAGTGGGTCGGGAAGAAGACAATCGTGAAAATGTGCGCCGAACAATACAATAAAATCGTTTTGTTTAGAATACGCCGACAGATGTGCCGCGACACACTCGCGAGTAAAATTATTTCCATTCGTGAAGTCAGCTGCCGGTATTTATGTTATAAGTATGGTAGGTAAGTAGGCAAGTTGCGGGCGATATTATCGCAAACAGTGTAGCTGCGGTGCCGAACACGCGTATAATATACGTATATATAGTTCGATTTCCCTCTCCCCTTTCCCCACGAGTCTAAAACGTCGCTTTTCCATTTTTCGACATTATAATACGCGTTCAATATTTTTTTTCCGCCGCTATTAGGTGTTATTAATATTATAGCGAATCGGAAGTAGCTCGTTAGTCTATATCGGAATCAGCCGATTTCGGCGGATACTGCAGCGCCACAGTGAACACAACAATAATCCGTGCACTTGTCCCGGCTTCGGCCGCCAATACAATATTTATACGAAACAATATGGAGATCAAGTATAAATTCGAAATCGTCATGATCGTTTCCAGTGTGTTCATGTTATTGACCATGTACGAACTGCCGATGGCCACCTATTTCAAAGTAATTAACTCAAAACAATAATAACATTACAATATTGTCGACACTATAGTAATATTAGCCGAGCAGCTATTATATGAATAATATAGGATCTGTAATTTTAAGATCTGGCTGGGGCGGCACGTTTTAGAGAGGGGTTGTACAAGGGTCATGGTCCTCCTTCCCGACTATCGGTTAAATGCATATTGCGAAATTGTACCGCTGTGCGGTACAATATCGTTAAATATACATGTTTATTATTTTAAGAGACCTGCTATAAGGAGTGCTTGCGTTTAGGTGCATACATTTGTATATAATACGTATTTGGTGATCTTAACGATATTTTCGAAAAAAAAAAAACATTTACGAGTAGATAGTAGCACCGCAAGCAGGAAATAATTCGTGAGGGGAGGGGCACTTTTAATAATTTGCATATTATTGCCTACTACGTTGATATGTTTTATAAACAGTTGTACAAGCCAACACAAACATAAACAAATTGTATATAAGTTTAATCACCAATATTATTAAGTAGGCCAATGAAGCAAATAAGCTGAGGCAGCAAAATGTAAATAAAAAAGGAAGTGGGGCAGAGTCTTTGGTTAGAATAGGTACGTATGAATATGTCGACTAAACCAGCTCGCGTATTATTTGTTTGTTTGTTGGTTTTTTTTTTTTTTTTTGTGTTATTTATATCATATAAATTAAGTTAATACTGTACAAACCAATGGTTAAAACGGAAACAACTTCGAGGGGGGGTGGATTATATTTACTAGAAAATTCAAGGCTGTTCCAGAGAACTCACTGAACCCAGCCAAACTTTCAAGAAATCAATCGTGGAGACAGGACTTTCAAAACGTTTTACTCACACACGTATTTGTACATACAAAATATGTTATGCTAATATAGAGTTTAGATATAACCTGCACTTTTATCCCAAAAAATTAACCTTTTTTTATCCTATACATACGCAGTGGTGTACTTTTAAATTAATTTTTGGATATTCGCACTTTTGAATGATATTCTAGACAAAAAAAAAAAAAAAAAAAATTGAACATATTAGACATCTCTAGACTCCATTATAAAATGTGTAGTTTAATCATCATTTTTATAATTAAACCATATCATTTTAGTTGTTTCTAAATATCGTGCTAACTATTCTTCAAATACTTACCCAGTAAATACAAATAATATAGCATAATATTATATTAGATATTTAAGGGGTGGAAGGTTGGTATTTTCCAACATTTTTGGTTTTTATAGCTAATTAGAAAGTTATTTCATTGATAATATTGAATTTCATAGTTATAATAATTATGAAAATTTAAACTTTTATTATAATATTTTTCACAAACTCCTAGTCTAAACGACCAAACATTTCGATTGACGATTGATCATTGATCAGGTAGAATCGTCCCTCACATCGGTTTAATAATAATCATTTTGTGCACGGACTATTAATATGACGTACTCTTAAATAGGTGCTACAAAATCGTCATAGATAATGAAGATTAAAGATACCTTTATTATAGAAGTGTATCCAGAATATTTTTGTTGTGGGGGGGGGTTCAATAAATTTAAACTATTTAAGTTCTAAAAAGTGTGATAAGTAGAAAAAATAAAATAAAAGAAGGTCATCAACAAATTAGGTCCGCCGTTAAAATAAAATCTGATTAAAGTAAATACGATTATATACTTACCTATGTAGAGTCGCTATTTACCTCATCAAACAGTTCTTTTAGTTAAATATTCATAATATTATTTCATTATATATTTGTATCACAAAATGTAAGAACAAATAAACTCGAGAAAAAAAAATGAAAACATTATTTATTCAAAATTTAAACATTGTCTGTAAATAATTAAACAAAATGGCCAGACTGGCTGAGTTAAAATAGTTGTTTACGTTATCAGTGTCGGCACCGGGGAAAAACAAATGGGACATAAGTCCAGGGCCCCGCGCTTGTTTTGGTTTTAATGGGCTCCGCGGTGTATTACTATATAGGTGTACAATCATTAGTTAGATATACTAAAACTTTCTCCGGGGCTCCGCAATCATTAGTTAGGGTATACTTAAGTATTGTCCAGGGCTCCGCAAAACTTAGCGCTGCCACTGCATATTATAATTATACTATAATATTAACCTTATTATATTTAATATGGGTTGCCATTTAAAAATCGAAAGTAGCTAGTCGTTCTATCTCCGAAAATATCGAGGATGACAAATAATAATGAAGATGTAACATTTCAGAAGTGCGTGTTTCTTAAATGTTTTATAAAACAAGTTCCGGAATAGCTGATACTTTTTGAAACAATGAGCATCTTACACATACGAATGCACATCATGTATAAGTACAATATAAACGGTTAAAAACGAACTAAATTAATTGAATTAGATTACGGAAGTCGAAATATTTATAAGCCCCAGACATAATTGCATTGTTAACATTAATACTAAAAATTAAAAATGTTTAAAATCTCTTACCATGATGAAACGTTCAGATTTCTTGAAATACGAGTAAAACAAATAATATTCCAAATATTCCAATCGTCTACCGTCAACCGTATCCCGTGTCGCACTAATCTTACACATTAATGTGCTTGTGACAGTTGAGTTGAACGAGCACAATATCTAAACTAAACTTTGAATACACACAGTGTTATTGCCATTATCGCTTGACCTATTAGGTGAACCGACTGAGATTGCCAAGAAACCCGAATGTGTTCCGACGAGAACATTATCTAAGAGATATGAATATTTTATGAGTGTATGTATACATGGATTTGTGTGACGTATTTATAATAAAATATGATCTGCAAGTCAAAATTCTAATAATATAAAAATTGTTTTTAAGAAAAAACTATATATTTCCTATAAAAATGTTCATCTACTTATCAGGTCATCTGCTACGTAAAAATAAAAATCCGTAGGAGGGTCCTGACCAACAACCCCCTCCTCCCATGGATAGGCCACTGCTTTATTATCTACGATTGTTGTATGTATTGAATTCGCTACCTAAAAACAATAATAATACAACATAATTTAAAAGAAATATATTTTGGCGACGGGCACAACAATGACAAAAATATGTTACTATCAATAATTCAGTCATCATTTATCAGTATGTGCTCGTATATAGGCGTATACATACGTATCGTCTATATTTCAAAATGTTTTGAACCGAAAGAACCTCATAATATTAGTTTTGCATAAAATCTTCTAGAATTTTAAAGTAAATTTTCAAAACTTTGTTCAATCCGAATTATATCAGCGAAAACCCCACACGAAACCGAACTAGAACTCTTAACGTTTTAACAAAATCCGATTTATTGTGCTATATCAAAACCGAACGCTGTCGAACTGGAGTTTATAAACTTTTTAGGGTTAGTACCGTGTGTATTATGTATAGAGGAGGAAAGCTAAAATCCTGCACCGGCTAGCTGTGACCACCACAGAACTTTTCACTCCTCGAAAATGTTTGTTTGGTTTAAGATTAAAGTGATTACTGCAGCTGCTAATATAAGACCCACGAGTTTGTGTCCTAAAAATTATAACCGACTACGTTGCCATATAATTATATTAAATCCGTCCTTTAAGTTAAAATATTTTATTTTATTTAATCCACGATGCATTTATAGTTCACAAAATTTTGACACTTTTAAAATTTAATTAATTAGGCGCCTTTTAAAATCGTTTTGCAGATTTATGACCATAATAGCTACTGAATGTTCCGCACAGAGGCCTAAATGGAGACCCAAACGAATTAATAAAAAAACAATCTAAAACATACATAATCCTATTCAGAATTAAATTGAAACAACACCCACGGTATTGATGCCATTTAAAAATAATGGTATCCACCACCAAAACTTTACCGTGACAAAAAGACAAGTTCCAGAACACCCCCACCACTTAAAAAAAAAAGTAAAAAAAAAATAACTCCTCTAAGTAGTGATCGTAATACATCGCTCTAGCCATATATTTGCTACCCACTTATAAAAAGTCGTAGATTGGCGCATTTTTTCTTAAAGTTCTCGATTAAACTTTCTTCTCCGCGCTTCCGTTTGACGTACAGAGCTACATTTTGCTCTCCATACTTTATTTTCTTACATTCTTAGTTTTCCTTCTGTAGTGCTAGCGTTAGACAAAGCTTCAAGTCCGTAGGCGAACGTTGGTCTGTATAGGTATTAGGTAGTCAGTACTGCGGACTGCGAAGAGGCCTGTATGATGCACAATATGCATTTTATAGGCAATATCTGCAATCAGTGGTAAATCCTCTGGGCACCTTATCGTAGTAGAAAAACGTTTTTGCGTATACGATTATTATACTCGCAATATTGCGCGCATGTGAGTGCTAAAATCTTAAGTAGTTAGTCTTATTATAGATGTAAATATCGGATGTGTAATCGAAAAATCGTTTATTTTGTTGTTGGCACGCGCGCAACCTTTTCCGTTGTATAATATCGCGACGTCGTCGTACGTTTTTTGTATTCATACTCGTCTTCACCGCCGCGTGTGTATAATAAACGTATTAACCCACATTCGACGAGCTCACATCGCAGTACTCGTATATTGTAATGTCGTATTAAACAATTTCGGAACAATAGTATTTTTAAACGATTTTGATTTTTTTCTGTTAGTAGATACGATTCAATCGTGGAATATTTGAAGATAGGCATCGCGATTTATGGCCAGAGTGCGCAAACGACCAATAAAGTATAACTGCTGCGTATGGAACCGATTGCATCGGTTCGATATAACGATTGGCTGTTGTAGAATTATATTTGTCTTGTATCGATTCGACCTCTACAACCTCTTATCGGATCGATGATTCGAAGGTCCGATTTTGGTTCGACCTATATTAAGAGCAGTTCTATAAGATTATCGAATTGACAAAACAATATATTATGTCCATCACTCGGTCACAATTTTTTCTTGTCATACGTTAATAGCGTGAAGTATTAAATAATATTCCACGACTTAATCAGTCGACATTGTAATGTGACATTGAGTGTTCCATTGTTTTTGATATACAAACATGTAGGTATAAAATATAGTTTTGTATTTCCACAATAGCAAATGATAGACAATTGTTTATTAACCACATAAACCATAAACAATAACAAAAATACTATTAACAGTAAAATATAATATGCAATATTATAACTTATTACCTATTTATTTGTAATGATATATTGTATAACACCAACCGAACTGGCTGTTTCGTATTAACATCGATATTATGCTGGGAGGTTCATCTGGAATTAACATCATTATAGTTATATAAAAGATCGTTTATCGTCGATCGTTACAATACACTGCCGAATTTAAGTGGTGATGGATAGAGACGTCGGGGAAAACATTCGTTTTGCAACATTCTTTTTTTATTACCAGATTTATAGTGGTATCAGGTCAATTCCAGTCGGTGCGTGTGTATGTATGTGTAGGTACTCTATACTAACCTGTACCGGTGGAGGCTTTTATTTTGGCGTTTTAGGTTCAAATTTTGACGAAAATCGTAAAAATCACGGAATTCCAAAACACGCATAACTTCGCTCAAAATCGTATTTCATAGCAATGATTTATCGTTGAGTATACATGCAAATTAAATTACCCTAAACTATGTCCTACCTTGATCCGAACTTTCTGACAATAACAGTGGTACACTAATTAGAGGTATCAGGTCTTTATTTTTACAACTAAGTAAAACTTACGATGAACCTTATTTTATTAAATTTTCGAGATTTTTGTTAACTCAAACAATTTGTATCCACGTAAAACAAAATTAAAACATAAAAAAAAATAGGACAATTTCTAAATGGGTATAGATAGATTAAAAACTATCGGAAATGATTAATAATTTCAACACATCTAGAAAGGGCTATGCTAATATAAATATTTCAGGTCTCTAAGGTTTTTGTAACTGAATTAAAATAATGATAGAAATAATAATCACAATAAAATTAAAGAAGCCGTCCTACGATAATGTGGACGTGTGCAGCCACTGTTATTGGTGAAAAGTTGGTATGGTAAAATATAAACGGAAATTTAATGTATATCTGTGAGTAACGATTAACCGTTGCTAACGAAAAAAACGACTCTGAATAGAGTTCGGTTAATAGTGTTGTTTTGTCAACAATATATATGTCACATTTTTGTAAAATAATTACATATGTATTAAACATTTTCTTTAATAATATTTGTTTATTTTAACGTGTACCTATTTTTCTGTTCTCTCGGTTTTCCTATGTTTTTCCCATTTATCGGGAAAAATCCTAAGAAAATCAAAAACCTCCTTAAAGTACCACCCCAGTAAGATTTTCTTTCAAAATAAATACTATCATTGTAAATCGGAGCGAAAATGCTGGTAGAAAAGTTATCCACAAACAAAAAAAAAACCGTAATATTTTACTAATACATTTCGTGTATTTTCCCGTTTTTTCCAGTTTTTCTCGAAAAGTAAAAAAATTACTTAGAAAATCAAAAAAAAAAAAAATGATTTTTTTAGAATACCTCTCCAGTCAGAAAAAAAATAAATAAAAAATAAAAATGATTGCAAAACCATAAGCCTGTTCGCTCTACTCAAAATCTAAAATCAATACATTTCTTGCTACGCTTAGAATTTAAAATGCTCGGTAAAACGAAACACTATTTCGTATGGAAAAAATGAACAAATTCATTATTTCACGTACAAGAATGGTCTTTTAACATACATACATGGAAAAAAGTACATCTTCCTACAAAAATTCGCACTCTATACTAAATGTCTATTTAAAATACTCGAGTACCTTAATATCATTTTTTCTGGTTATAACACAATTTTATTATCGAACCGCCACAATCTGCGTGGTTAGGTGAGGTAACGTACACAAGAAACGGATCTTATTTAAGCAGTCTACTATATATTACAGGTGTTTCCGAAGCACTGCCGTTCAACTGCTGCTGCCTTTGATCCTACAAACGTGAGTATTCGTTACCATTAGCTATAAAATAGACAGATAGCGCATGCAGTGTTTGATCTAGGATGTAGCTTTTATAGAGTGGAACTAGAGTCGTCGCCATTGGTTCCCATGTTGACGACTCAACGAGTCGAGTACGGTAATATGGTACACGGGCAATCTGTCTATTGTATTATATATTATGGTATTGCGTTAAAATAATTTAATAATAATATTGAAAGATAAGTGGGGGCGTCACTCGCACCCCCGAGGTTAATTTGTTTAAATACCGAAAGCCACGACGATGATAATTCGGTTTCAAACGTAAAAACGATTCCGAGCTGAGAACATCGTATTAAAATCACCAAAAAACCGTTCTACTCGCTAGTCGAGTTAATATCGCCAGGTTGTCCGATTGACTTCGAACCAATGTTAATACTTTGCGCATTTATTTGCCCAATGGTTACGAAGAGCCTAGGATAGGGCAAACGTTCCCAAAAACCCGATATTTCGACGTACATTATTTTGATTTTGTACAACAACATTGTCCAGAAATTTTGCCGCGGATTCGGTGCCCTACTCACATTGAAAAGTCATTAGTAACAATTCAGTATGTTGTTCCGATACACAAAATATAGGTACGTCCCGTTGGAAAAACGGAAGTGTTGAAAACAGAAAAGCAAACAGTGCGTGGTTTCTGACACCGCTTAAAAGTTTAAACTATTATTACGAAACGCGCGTGTATATATAGAGGCTAATATATTTTTTATGTTTGTGCCGATTGCGGTTTGTCGATAACAGTTTCGTTTATTTTAAAGGGCACTCATACACGATGTAATAATAATTAGACAGCGTATTATTTTAAAGGTTTATGGGGCGCGTAATAATGTTGTAGGTACCGTTTCTAGTACACGGCGGTTAAATATTATAATATAATAAAATAATAAAGTAGGTAGCTATAGATATGAATAACATTCGTGACTACAGTATGTTTTTAAACACATTTTAATTAAATAAAGAACTAATATAACGTCTGAAACAAAAAAAATAAAAATAAAACCGATTTATCATAGGTATATTTATACAGAGTGATTATTTATCCTGAACTGGCAATTATCTCAGAGGATTTTAAGTGAATTTGATTATTTTTTTTTAATCGCTGTGGAATCAGCTGAGCTTCATTTTATGCCCGTTTTTAATTTTAATCAAACAGGTACCCCATTTTCAGATACAGATGCGAGCATAGTATATTTTTCTAGAAATGTTGATGTGCATACAACTAATATCAGATTTATTGTTTGCGTGTTATAACCGTTTAAAGTTTAGACCGGAAGAGTTTGGAAGAGTTATCAATTTATCATTTAAAAATAAATACCTTTAATATATTATTACCCTTACCTATACTCGTCTGGCCTAAACTTTAAACGGTTATAACTCATAAACAATAAATTTGATATTATTGTTACGCGGATCAAAATGTCTAGACAAATATACTCTACTCGAATCTGTGTTCAAAAAAGTGGTTCCTATTTGAAAAACCAAAAGTATATACTTATTTAGGGTGCACGGAGTTGGGGTGAAAAAAATTTAAAATGGTTTTAAAATAAAGCTTAACCGATTCCACAACGATTAAAAACAAACAGGAATCAAATTCGCTTAAAATCTTCTGTGAAAATTGCCGGTTCGTGATAAAAAAAAAAAAATCACCCTGTATTTATTTCGGTAGTAATATTGCACGAGCATACAGTCGTAAAATCGTTAAAGCGCAGTAAAACCGTTTTATTAAAGTCATATAATAGTAGGTATTAGGCACCTATGTCATACAGTGTTGACGTTTCGTTATATCACAAGCATTGACGTTTTGTAGTTTGCGTGTACCTAATATAATTTATTTTACGGGTCCAGTAGTTTTTGCACACGATACGAGTGAAATGATAGCCAATTAAAATCGCGAAAAAGAAATGGCGAAAGTCAAAGATATCGCGAAAATTGCAATTTAATGTTTTTTTTTTTTTTAATTTTCAAAACAAAAATACCGAACAATAGTTTGACAATGTGTACAAATCGAATGAAATAATATCTTGTACATTCTGTTACAGAACGCCGCGGTCAATAGATACGCAACGCGGATTTACCGCGGCATTATCTGCTTACTGTACATACTGTATCTGTCGTACACTCGAACGAACATTGACACGACTCAAAAAATACGATTTTCGAACTATCGCTATCAGAAAAACATCCTTTATTATTTGGCATACCAGCATTTTTTCATCTATTTAATATTATGTTAAAGACACTATGAACTAATGTTTTAATGTGAAATGAATCATAACAGTTCCTAGTCTAAATATTGACACTTCTGAGATGCGAATTTAATCTGACCCGACTAATGTTGCACAATATTTTTTCTAGCCAGAATAAAGCCATATCTCAAAAGTAACAGTTTCAAGTGGTGACGATTGTTAATCTACGCATTACGAAGAATTATGAAACATTTAAAAGTGGATTTCCTAACAATTTCATGTTTTGATTTGGGTCGCTATTCTTTTGAGATTGCGATATGGTGCGTATAGGTACATGTTCAAAAGAAGAATTTCTTACTTATCGCTATGTTTTTTTTTCCTGATAAAACGTTTCGCGATTTTGAGTTTCGCTATTTTTTCCCCGCAATTTTCACATAGACCCGAGTAAAATGCATAGAAGTCTTAAACATAGAAAATCTTAACCATGACGTCAACGAAGTTTGGGACAACACCGCCTATGAAACAAAAAAAGCACATATTTTTTCCTGAGAGAGCTTAGAAAGTCAAGCTCCTGCTTCTATTTTCCACAGATAAAGTTTTGGTCAAATGACTTAGGAGACTCTTTCATTAAACAAAGATCAATTTGACGAAATATGACTGATAGCGATTATTTCGTTACTATCGCACGTAATTTCTTTGTTTAAACATTTTAAAAATTCAACAGTTTTGAATTGTTATGTTTATTATATAAATATACAAGTAGATACTAGCTAGTCTTATTTCTTACTACAGTACACTTTTCAAATCCGTACTACCATAATTCTAATTTCGGACTACACACTTTGTGTCGGGATTTAATAATAAAAAAAAAACGGAATACACTCTAGCACACTTATGGAATTCTTATCTTTCGCCCTTGTCCACCCCTCTCCCTCCCCTCCTAAGGTGTATCAAATATCAATAAAAGATATCTGTAGTCTTCGTGGGCAAAACGCACAACCATATAAACGCCGAACGGTGTTATATAATTATGTCATAACAATATAATACGTTTTAATCATTATTCATTTATAACTTATACGGGTTGTGTGCCGATTTATTATAATTGTTAATTAATCGTCTTTGATTATCACTGTTAAGGTTTTCCGACTCCTTGTGCAGGCCTTGAGTGTGGCGCAGAATATACCGGTTTCGTCTGGATTGACAAAATGATAACCCAATGGTACACCTAAGTTAATTAACGCAATTGTTTAAACGTATGTTCCATATAGAAATATGTTTAAAACCAATTGGTTTTTATGGTACCGTGTATAAAACAATATTTTGTTTAAACAGCCGACACTGGTTAATCCGTTAAATCTAGACTGGCCAATAGTATTTCGAAGCATTGTTTTAATTAATTTGAATTTAGAGAAATTTCTCCCACATTCACGAAACGGAACTGGCGATACCGCAAACGACTGAAGGAATTTGAAAACATTTGCAAATAGATTTTCATTGTATTTATCGAGATTCGAGAGCATCTAAAACGCCATGTATATTTAATTTTTCTGAATAGGCGTGCCGTAAAATTTGTTTCAATGGCGACTTATTCAATATAATATGAATAATTAAATACAAATAATATTACTTAAATCTATGAGTACTTTTTGATCGTGATTTTAATTATAAACGAGATAATATAAACCCGGTGTAATAATATTTTTGTGATTCATAAATCGATTATTTAATATTATTGCACGTCAACAAATAGAATAGAAATTCTAATTTTAAAACACATACGTTCTTCGGGTTTGTAAGTTTGATAATTAGCTCCATATTCGTGTCGTTTTTACCATCATTAATCTTAAAATTTGACCTTTATGTCGATTCTTCAAAACACTTATAAAACTCAACATCAACGTAATAATAACCTATCTCTAATACTTTGTGTTTTTAAGAAATTAGTGCAGTGGACATATGACGTTTGAGATTAGGCGACAGCCGTTGTTTTTTTAATTCATACGATTATTATTTATTACGTTCATTACGTTTTATTAAATCTAAATGCTTTATTGTCGACATAAAATTAATGTTTTAATAAGTTCGATAAACAAATATATTAAGTATACGTTAAATATTGAATAATAATATATTACGCGGCCTGGTGGAGGGGTGGGGTGACATGGCCTCCCAAAACCCCTCCTTGTATACACCACTGTTTTATTATTAAGTTGTGTTTTGCTAAACTCTGACCTACGGCGCGAATCAAAAATATCCATTAATTGCATTTATAATATTTATTATTGAACGGTTTTATTATTCATAATTAATTGTGCTCCTAAGTATTATTGCAACGCCATTATTAAAAATATCTGATCGTTTCGCGTGCGTAATCGAGATAATACATCGTCTTGTATAATATTGTTTTTTGTTTTTTTTACCGATAGAGATGAAAAAAAAGTACAGACTATAACAGCTATACAGTCACGGATGTCGTTTAAACGGAAGGCGGTGATTTTTTTTTGAAATTTCAAAGATAAATCTAGAAAAAATAATCTGACCTAGATATTTTGCACCTCGGGTGGGCCATTGTTTTTTCGTCGATCAAAGTACTGTAAATTGTTTATAATATATTGTTTCAGATTCGAATGTCATAAATCACAATACTATTATTGTCATATTCGAAAAACCATTTTCTACACTTCAAATGAAGAGTCCAGAAATAATAAAATCCAAACAGTTTTTCGTTAAGAAATTAAGGCGTTGAGGAAAATATATTATAATACGTGGATCAATAGTTTTCGATTATGGGTGAAACTGCCGAGTGCTGGTGTATAGTGGGAAAACGTGGAAATAATTGAAATCGCGAAGGTGTCCTTTATAACAAGTCATGCGAAGCGACAAATACTTCGGTGTTTGGGACACTTGGGACCTAACCTGCGAATGGAGGAAACAAGCAAAGTTAAATCACTAATCGAATAGAAGCCGGAGGGAAGAAAACCGAGAAAAAAAACAATGGAAAAGATTCAGAACCGTGATTGTTGGAGGACAGTGACAGTGGCAATCTTACAGAGTTATGAGGGATAATACTATATGACGACGAAGAAGTTCAATATCGTAGTTGTTCATCATTTTGGGACCCTTCTTGTGTTCTTGTACATGCATTGTATAAAGTTGCAGGTGAAACTTTTCGATAGTGTTTAGATGTGCTTAATCTAAAAAGTGTTAATCAAAAAAAAAAAACCAACCGCATCGCAAACTATTTAATAGCTATCTACTGCCCCTCTCGGCATTTTAAACTACTCGTGTTGCAGAGTTTGCAACAGTCGTAAAACAATCGCTTCCAGTTTTTATCGTTTTCTCCTCTATCATAATTAATCGTCACCATGAAACCACCTGCAATCGTTTTTATAATGGCTCAATTTTAGGTTTAAGAATTTGAATTGTCTACTCACTGAAATAGCCGTAAAATACCGACCATTTATATTGTGGTAAAACGCATTTGAGTAAATAAAGCTAAAAGACTATAAAGACGGTTTTAAGACTTAGAACACCAGTTTTTATGAAATTAATAAAAATGATATTTTTTGCTACCACGCCGTTTATTAAAAAAGTTACAGTTTAGAAATTTAAATTTAAAAAAAAAATTAAACGATTTTGTATACAACATTTTTCTGAGTATCGTACAGTGTTCAAATCATTTTGGACATTTTTGAGCTATTTACATGCATTTGAAATTTTAGAGTTTTTTTTTTTTTTTTAGTTTTTATTTGTTTTTATGTCGATAAAATGTTTGAAAATTCAACACAAGACTTATCATATGCGTTATACTTAATGGTAAACGAAAAAATGTATCACATATCAGCAGTATATTTTTTTGTAAGTGTTTTAAATTCCGATTGTGACGAAAATCGTAAATTCATGGCATTTCGAAGCATTTCAAACTTCGTTCATAATTGTATTTATCGTTAGAATTGGTTTATTAATATATACGCAATTATTTGAATAACTCTATGTATTCGTCCTCACTAACTTCTCAACCAAAACACCCGTCATCAGCAATATCAGTTTTGTTTACAAATAATCGGTGAAAATATCGAGTTTGCTGAAAAATACGAGTATACACGTTCAAGAGTATTGTTTCGTTTATACTATATTACAAAAAAAAAAAAAAAAAAAACCCGCTTAGAAAATCTAAAAACCACTTACTCGCCAACTACACGGGGGTTTCTACCAGAAAAGTTGTTTACAGACACGAAGATTAAAATTAATAAAAAAAAAACACAGATACGCGTTTTAGTAATACCAATACATTTCTCGCACCGCTCATAAATTGAAACAAAAAAAAAAAAGGAAAATAAAATATGAAATTGAAGTCGGTTCGCGACACGAATTCCAAGGCACGTTTAAAATCGAATCATTCGCCGTTTATTGTCGTTATTGTTATTATGCTTATTGTTTTTGTCCTTCGTTCCGACCAGATACCTACACTTTTATACGTAGATAAGTAAACAAAATATAAAAAAATAATATACAACTTTCTTTTACGCCTATTTCCGCGACTCGTCGCCGTCATTGCGTTCGTCGTAGAGTTCCGCGAGCGAAAATACTGCACAACAATGGTCACGACTGGCGCTCGTTCTTTTCGAAAATTATTCCGATTGAAAATATTACCATATTATGCGTTTTTTTTCTGTTTGTTAAATTCGTCTTTATTCAAATTGTCGACGATTTCATTAAGTCGCCTACCTCGTCGATCGCGCGTTAAGTCGAAAACGCGATTGTTCGCGAAGACGCGACGGCGGTGGCGTTTTTTCATTCTCCAATAAAAATGTAAAAAAAAAAACAAAAAAAAAAAAAGTATTCGCCTCCCCACCACATATAGGTACACGTAATTTATGTACATAATAATATTTTATGTATTTATATAATACATATATACATATTATATTGTATGAAAAAGTAAAAACCATAAAAAATCGATATTTCGACAGTCGTATTTTTTTTTATTTTTTTTTTTTTTTTATCTCACTCAAGGACATTCGACCGGATTAAAGTTTTTTGATATCGCGAATATACGCACACCCGTAAATTATTATCATTATTATGGTATTGTGCGGACCGAGCGAATTAATATTTTCGCGACAGATGATTTATTACGCGTATAATGTTATATTATTATATACCTGCAGTCTGACGTCCGTATAATGATATTATTATATACACAAAAAAAAAAAAAAAAAAAAAACAACTAAAATGATATCAGTATAATATTATAATTAATAGGAAAAGGATTTTTTTCTACATATATATTTATTTTTATTATGCGTATATAAAATTATACGGTTTCAGTAAATTGACACCTGCCAGCTGGTGTCGTACGCGAAATGATTTATTATATTGTTTTCGGACCGTATTATTACTATCGTAATATATTTTGCGCAAATTGAATTTTTTTTTTTTCTATTTTTAATATCCGAGTGTAAATATTTATTTGTTTTTTTTTTCCATCCGTACGACGAGTTTCGGCGTTAACGTTCGCGCCAATTATTCATGTGAATGCAGTTCGTCGATTCTGTCGAGAAAGAAAAAAAGAAAATTTTTTGAAATTATAATAATATTATGTTTTAGTTTTAGATTCCGAGGCGTTTGTATTTCGGTTGGCGAATGTAACTGCGATAAATGCTCGCGTAAACCGACTTTACAGACGCGAGAATTTCGCTCGGCGGTGCCGTGCAGCAGTTCGAAAAACGTATCGCGTAGATTGCCGACAATTTTTCATCGCAATCACGACGATATTTGCATTTTATTTACGAACAAAACGGGCTCGCGCCCAAGCCGTTGTGGTAAATACAATAAAACCAACAACGAGATAACAATAATTAACAACGCGTGTAAGCTTAAGAGCTATTTACAGCTGGATTTATACACGGATGAAAGAGGGGTCGTCGCCTTGTTAGCTAATATCATCATTCTTGTGATTGGTTATTCGCCGGGACGTACGGTCGGGTCGAACCGCGAGGAATGCGTAAAGGAGTTCTACGGCGGGTGAAACGCGAAGGCGCTTCGAAATAAACACGAGAAATAGGAGACGGAGAATCAAAAGCGGGAGAAATGATAGTGTTGTGAGGAAGGAAATACTATGAGAGGGTAGGACGGCTGTCAGCTAAAGATTTCCGTTGATTACCGCGTGATTACGTCGGCCGTGCAAGGGGATCGATAGTTGCCGGTCTAACCTCGCCGCTTAACGCAGCGGTTAACCGAGTTCTGCTCAGAGCCGTTTTTCAATTGCAAATATTCGTCGTGGCTTACGGTATACACACCCCGACTATCCGCCCGTACTGTAGTGCAGGCCGTTTACACACGGACACTAAGAGTTATTGTATTACAGCGCAGGTTTACCGGCTTTTTCTTTAGTTTCATAATTTCCATCTAATTTTTTTTTCGCTCTTAATATTTTCAAATACATTAAAATTTACTATACAATACACACATATATACATACAATACATGCATAGTTATTTTAATTGTTCGGTTTACGTGTTTCAGGATTATACCTTTGCACACCGATAGCGAGCCAGGTGACGAAAGTTCGGTGATGGTTTGGATTATGGATGTTGTCGAGTATTTAATGTATTTCACGACAATAATACTGGTGAAAAGAGCAATGACGTTATTGCATTTGCTGTAAGAATACAGAGAAATTAAATAAAAGAACGAACGCGACATAATTAATAATAAAATAATAAAGTAAAAAAAAAAAAAAAAAAATTGACGCGCATTTTTGGTGTTACAATTGTTGGATGTTTACGATAGTTTACATTTTCTCATTGTCTGATCATTTCTCACTATTCAATGATTCAATGATCAATCGATCCGCCANAAAAAAATATAAAAAAAAAAAAAAAAAAAAAAAAAAAAAAAAACATTAAAATGGTTAACACCCGTGAATAAATATAGAATATCATGATTATGTATTTCTATAAAAACCGTACACTGTCTCTCGTTTTAATTCATATCAATAATAAATTATACAGGCTGGCAACACGAAGACCTGACGCATGAAATAACTTTTGTTGTGTTCAATATTTTTAAGTGTGTTTTGATTATTACTGCGCTACGATTCCTATATTTTATGTATTTTTTTTTTAAATTAAAAAAAAAAAAAAAAAATTGACGCGCATTTTTGGTGTTACAATTGTTGGATGTTTACGATAGTTTACATTTTCTCATTGTCTGATCATTTCTCACTATTCAATGATTCAATGATCAATCGATCCGCCAATTCGTCCACGAAAAAATATTTTGTAAATGATTTCTGTTAACTTTAAACAAAAATGTTCAGAAACGATTAATCATTAGAAAATATTTGTAACGCCAAAATTTTCTGTCAAAATACTTATATCATACAGAGTAATTAATACACCGAAGAGAAACTCATTATCTCGGAAAGTATTAACTTTTTTCGGAATTCGTTTTTTAGATGATATAAGTAACTTTAAAATATCACTTTTCGGTTATCTCTGTCACCCTTAATTCGGAGAGTTAAACCACTATCTACTTTTGATTTTTAAACGGCGACCTGTATTAAAAATCACATGAATAAATTGAGCATTACTATTAATTTCTGTCAACCCGTTGACGAGATATTCCACATTTGAGATTCGGTGGGGAGAGAGTAGTGCATGTGGAGTATCATTTGCGGCACGGCATGGCACGTGGCGTTTTATAGTGTTCCGCCACTCTCCCCCTACCCAAATTTAAAGCGTAACGGACCGTCGACAGATCCATCTATTTATGGAATAGTTAGTATATTTAGGTTTATATTTGAAAATCAAAAGTAGGCAGTGGTTTTTCGCCTTAAAATAAGGGTGAAAAAAAATAACCGAAATGAAATATTTTAAAGCTACGTATTTCTTAAACGATCTAAAAAACGAACTACGAAAAAAGTTAACACTTTCCGAGACAATGAACGTCTTACGTTATTATACGTTCTAAAAGAACAAGTCTTTGATATTAGTTTTCAAGTTTTCGACGAAACTATTAAACCTTTTTACGATTTTTTTTTTTTTCTTAACAGAGCTAATCCAAATACTTTACCGAGAAACCCAAGTCGTCCGGTATTCAATTTTCGGCCAGGGAAGTAGGAGAAGGGACTCCGACGCCAATTTTCTGACCACACAATTCATCGAACTCTTTAATGATTTTTGTTTTACAACGTTGTTCCAAAATACTCACGCTAGTGCCAATTAAGAAAACGCAAAAGCTATTGTTTAATATTCGAGAAGCGTCGATATCATTAGACGCTTCAATAATTTTACCGTAATCCGTTTTTATGTTCAAAAATATACACGCAATGTGCGTTGTTTGCGAGAAATGTGCATGCTTGTTGTGCGGAAAACACCGATCTCGCTTTATTTCTAATACCATTACTAGCCGCGTATTACACCGCTTCGCCCGTGCGCAGTCTCTGTGAAAAACGTAATACCTGCTGTACTTAATGTACACCCTACACATGTAAATCCTTTTTCTCATATCTATTATAGACGAATTATTCCGAATGCTGCGTTACGGTATGTTTAAGATAAATTTATCAACACAATTAGTTAAATTAAATATAACAGCGGGTATTAAATTTTTGTTCAAAACTGCGCCGGGCAACACAGCTACAGTCAATTAATAAACAAATTTTTTTTTTATTATTTTTTTTTTTAATTATACATAATAAAATGAGTAGTATCAAAATCATCAAAATCATTCCTAGAAAATTATTCTCAATTTGAATCTGCGTATGGGTTTATCATTTACAAATCCAAAGTGGCCGCTCATTTCCGGTCCAAGGATCAGTGGTAGAAAAAAAAAAATTCGAAAATAGCTGATTCATCATGAAAGAGTCAGTACCCGTGTTACGCAGTTTTCTCGTTGCACTCTGAAATCCCTGTCCGCACACAGTTTACTATAATCACATATTAATTATTACATATTCATTGTCTTAATAATATTTCTTTGTTAAAAAAAAAAAAACAATTGTTTTACATTATATAGATAAGTGTTCAACATCTTTATAATGTGTAATCTTGAAATTTAGTCACGTAAATACAATTGGTTAGCCCGTTATAATACCATGACGTTAAATTATTTATTGTCAAACGTATTAATACTTACGGGTCAAAAACAATACAATATCGTGTCGGCAATAAAAGCAACAGGATGCGGTGGATGATTCAGTCATTAAAGAGTTTAAGTCTAAAGGGTTGAACACGAACGTCGTATGACACTCGGTGAAAGTTATTATCTGTAAATATTGATAGGTATAGAAAAAAAAAAAAAAGCTGTCCTTGGATAATGGGGACGGGTACGGCCACCACTCTGTTCGCATGTTTGCAAAAACCTTTAGAACTACTTTATCTAAGTGTGATTCCTTTTTACCTGAAAGAGGAGAGGGGGGGGGTTAACTTAGTGAAATGTGTGTCTAGTAAAAATAAATCAATAAGAAAATTCAGTTTTAGGATTTAGATAAATTAAAAAAAAAAAAATATGAAATATTGTATCGTCAACAAATTGGCTAAAGCTATATTGCTCATGCGTTTTTTTTTTGTTTTTTTAAATTGTGGCTTATGTTAATAAATGTCATATGAATAATTAAGTTAAAAAAAAAAACCATGCGTGTTTTATCATATAATTAATTAACGTGTTGAATACGGGGATACGGACATTTTCGCGTGAATTAATTCAGCGATTAGCGATAATTCGCGGGTATCGTGGGTTCCTATCGTATAAATATGTAATGTCGTGTGTGCACTTATATATACATAATGTAAAAACAACAAAAAAACCGTAATCAATTGGCGCTTCTTATAAATATTATATAAATATTTTGGTAATTTGTCGGCGCGCGTGTACACTGTACCTGTTCCATTTGCACTACCCTCGTTCGTCAATAAAGGATGCCGAACAATATAGAAACAAAAAAGTAAAAGGAAAACAAAAATGCTTTAAAAAAATCCTCGAAAATTATTACATTATTTCGAATACATTTATTATTTCGGTTAATTTTTTTCAGAATTTTCATTTGAAAATCAAAAATTCCGAAAAAAAAAAAAAAAAACCTTAAACAATTAGACGTATACACTTTTTGTTTGAACACCGTTCAGTGTCCTGTTGTTGCGACTTTTCGAAAAAATGTTAACTTTTACAACTTATAAGTCTTAATAATTTCAAACAAATGATTCAATAGATTTTAATTTGTATGTGAGGGCACATGCCCGCGTCCTGCGGCACGTGCACGTGATCTGTTTTGATGCTAGAAACATGCTATACCGGGGAAACCTCGCAGAGTGATCCCATTTTGATAATTGTTATTATTATTATTATTGTTATTTTTTTTTTTTAATATAGTAAAATTATTTTTGTAGCGGCGCGCGGGACTAACATTTTTCATTGTATACAGGTAACTGTAACGACTAAAACAAATTACACAAAAAGAAAATGACTTAGACCAATGGCGAAAATCGATCATATTCGAACTGTTATACCAATGGGCGTTTAGAAAAACGGTATGCGAAATCCTAGTCGGACGTCCAATATTCGATTATAAAATATCCAAGTCCGAAAACCGTAATCTACGTACGAGGCGGCGTGAGCAGAGGCTTCACGGAGATCACAAAACTCAGGGCGAAAAAAAAACCTCCCCTACTGGATTCCTCATCTCATTTAAGTAGTTTATACGACCGTAATATTTTACGTATTGCGGAGAAGCGTACGCAGGCACAGCAGAGAAAAACAATATAAATTTCCAGAATGAAAAAAAAAAAAAATAAAATATTAAGCACCTAACGCACGATGCATTTTCCGTTCCCGACAGCGATCCGTTGAAAATCGGCAACCGGCTTAAATTATTGTTCGCGGTGTGAGATATTGTAATGTATAAACCATCGTATACTAACTTATCATTTGAGTCGTATTATAAGTTATTTCCGTTTTCGTTTTCGAATCGAAACGAACGCCCGAAAGTTGTCGTCGTCAATATTCGTATCCGCACGGTTTGCGGGTGACAAACAAAATAATCGAATACTATAATATATTATAGCTTATATTACAAAACCTAAACCTCGTAAATCCGAAACTCGTTGGCTGGTTCGGTTTTATACCCGGTCGTTTCGATAAAATTCTTAATGATTAGAGCGGTTCTGAGCATCTTTGCCGAAACCATATTTTATCTAGTCGGTGCGGCGTTGTAGAGGTCGCAACATTTTGATTTTACTCGTAGTTTTCTCGTACAGCGGCGTAGCCAGTATTTATCTTTGACGGGAATGGGCTAAACGTATTTTTACGCCGAGTTTACACTTGGGTCTCCTGAAAGTCTTGCATGCCGATGCCGAGGTTTAATTGTAAGTTTTAGATTCTGAGTGGATCGAAGAACCTTATGGTTTTATAAAGATGTTTATTTTTTGTTTTTTTTTTTTTGTGGACAACTTTAACTAAAAATCTAAGGGAATTGGATTATGGAGGTAATTTAGAAAAGTAATTTTTCGATTTTTCCCGAACAGATTAGAAAAAACGGAGGATAAACATGGGGAAATCATAGGAGAAACGGGAAAATAAGTACAATATTAAACAAATATTATTAAAGAAAATGTATAATGCCTATGTAATTATTTTACGGTAATATGATATATATATTGTTAAAAAAGCAACACTATCAACTGAATTCCGTTTAGAATCGTTTTTTTTTTTTTTTTGTTGATTTATCGTTGCTTACAGATATACATTAATTTTTTCCTCTACTATCTTTTGAACTTCTCACCTACAACAGTGGCTGCATCCACGTGCAAAGTTGCTTTGCTTTTTAAAATTGTAATCACATCAATAAGTGGACAAACTTGGGTTCTTTAACAGCTATACAAATTTGTATTTATAACATCTTTTATCGCGCTATTAATACCAATTAAGTCAGTTAATATGATAACAATAAAAAAAAAAAAACCCGTAACGATAATATTTCGTACCGTCTCGCTCAATGCGCAACAGTGCTATAGCAATTCCGATGTGAAGTTAACATAAGGGCAAACTTATATATATATAGTTAGAATAAAAAAATAAAAACATTTTTACTCTGTGACGAACATTAAATGCGAATTATGTTTTGTATACGAACGGTAAGACTATCTAACAAAATAAAGATAGCAATTTAAGACTTGCCGCGGCAGCTATCACAGACCATAGAATAATTTTTAATTCGGAGGGCGCTGCAGACCCCTTGGCGCCCCGGCTATGCTACTGTTTTATTTTTTAATAATCGGCAAAAAAAAAATCCCTAGAATATTTACGAAAATAGCGGATTCAATATTTTCGTTTTTATTTTCGTACATGTAAATCCTTTTTTTGCCGGAGATCATTTTGGCGTTGGTTCCATAGACTGTATGTTTGTAATTATTGGCCATAAACGACCGTGGACAAATTGTCCATTTGAACTATTTGGCTATAGGTAAATTAAATTCACCTAGTCTTTCTATGTAATATTATACAATACGAACTTTAGTGATCGCGAGAAAATGATTTCTGCGCAAGTCAAGAGCGAGACGACCACGCGACCCACGCGACCTAGCCAAACACGGATGTCGTATGCACGCGAATATTGTATCTACTCGTCACATAGGACCCTGGTACCCGAGAACGAAACGAAATCATCGTAATTTCACCACCGCCGTTTTTGTACGCGAAAAGCTGGAGTAATTTTCTTTTTAAGCTGGAATAATTTTTTTTTTATCTGCAAATGCGGCGGATTTCGCGTAATAAAACCTACTGATGGAATTTAGAGCACAGTTGTATCTAGAGAAGGGCAAATTCGTTTGGCACATTTATATTTATGAAAAAAACTAAGGGTAAGTAAATATTATTTTTCTAATTAAACTATGTGTGCGTTAGGACTGATATTAATCACAAAGCGGAACGTCCTCTTGTCCTTTGTAATTGCCATTTTGTTCTGGTCATTTCAAAACAGAATTTAGATAATAAAAATCCTTCAAAAACCGAAAACGATGCAAGAAATTCAATTTCGTCCCTGTCTTTCTTTTTATCCTATCTGCGGCACAAAGTACCGTGGATACACGTATATACTATTATGCGTGACATCCGCGTTACCATGGTAACCACCATAAACTAATGAAAATAGTGAAGCTCTCATTTTAAAAACTCTGTGTTGACCGGCCTTTTATAGGGGTTGAATACCGGAAATCCGACATCGAGGTGCGCAAAGACACGTCCATCCGCTTTAGATAAATGGTACTGAATATAAATAATTAAAAAAAAAAAAAAACGCATACGTAGAGAAAGTCATCCTTCGTTAATTGTAAATCCTGAAAGTGATGTTTTATTTTATTAGTCTTACGTTTTGAATATTTTCATCCGCTTTAAAACACTATACGATCATTGACCCTTTTTCGTTTCCGTACAAACGTGAGCATGGGACCCTGGTACTCGATGTTGAATTGTAATCGTCGTAATATTTTAACCGCGTCGAACGCAAAACCGTCTTCCGAAAATCCATTTTTATCTCGAAACATGTACGATTTATCGTTAAACGGTTTATGATAAATGTTAATTAATGTACAACTATCCTGAAGAAACGTCATATCTCGTGATTAACTTACAAAGTTACGGGTTTTGTTTTCGAATTATTGGAAATTTGTGGCAATTTAACACAAGGTACATTATATTAAGTTGTATTTAACGGTATAAAAACAAATTTGAGTTTAATGCATTCGTTTTATTTTTTTTTCATTGGCCTTTTTAAGATCAAATTTTGACGAAAATCGTAAAAAAATCACGGCGTTTTTAAAATGTGCCTTGCCGAATTTCGCTCCGAATAGTTTTTCGATAGCACTGGTTCTGGCAGCTTACATACATACGAGAGAGTAGAGTAAATAACTCTGTGTATCCTACCTTACCGACTCCTCACCAGTAGCCGCACCCGTCCCCAGTATCGTCTCGTTTTTTTTTTTGTTTTTTTTCCCCCTTTTGAACCCGAAACACACCACCCGTCACATGGAAATTGCCGTCGAGTACGTCGAGAACGTCCGGCGAAGGGTCGCCATTGTTCATTATGTCGCGCACTGTACTCAC